CAAACGTTGCGCGATTTCATGGTATACACTTGTACAATTTTAATGTGAGCAGTAGTTAATGTTATACGTGTTTACAGACTAAAGAAAAATCGCTTGAATTTAAGAAAACCTTATACCTAAAGACTGTCTTGAGCTGATTCCTCAGTATTGCACTGCGCATCCTGTACTGCAGCTAGAAATCACATAATCAGGCGCGCATTCCGAGAAAACGGTATTGTTTTTCAATCAATAGACCAGGTAGACACGTGCGATGGTCTTTATCTCTGAAACGAGCGCGGTGAAATATTTTTATTGCAAATTTTAGATTATCTCCTTTAAATTGGAGAAATTAAAAAAAGTTCAGTGAGGGGAAAAAAACATATGACTAAAAGCGTTCACGAGGCCCTTCACTCGAGGATACAAATTATAACCATCGAAGCAAAGACTCGAGCAAGGTTTTGAGTCGATGTCGTTTAAAACTGCGTTTTTCACAAATTACATAACAAATTGTTCAATGCGTTCGAGACTTTCTATCTACCATTTTTTTCAAATAAAAAGTATTGCTTCCAGTTACCGCAAAATGAACCGTGAACTGATGAAATGACGTGTGTGATTAATACCAGTACAGGCATGAACAGGATGAGTTTGGCCGTCATATCTCTTCCACAAACACGGTAACCTTTCTTTTTTATCGTATTTCTCGAAACAGACGGACATTTTTGGGACACTTAACGACAATTTTTAAAAAAAATTTCCGATCAGCTTTTTGCCATGAGGAATCACCTTAAGACCAACCCACCGAATGAGGACAGATCAAAGAGCTAACGCTCGAAACATGAGGTTTAGAAACTCGTTACCGAGTCCTAACTTATTTCATAAACCTGAATTATCTCCACACCGACGCAGCACCACAGTTTCTCTAGAAACTTAATCTCTTCAAACAATGAACAATTTTGCTCAGTTCTATTGGACTACAATATATCTAGGTCACTGCATTAGCTATTGTGATTCATAAACTGCTTTTTGCACCTCATGATGGAATAATGACGCTCATAAATGTGTATACATTATACCTTTGCTCTTAATACCGTTTTTTAAAACTCATTAAATTAGGATTCTGTCTATCACTTTGTTCTAATTTAATCCAAAGATGGGGCTCAAAGTATCACAGAGAGTGTTTTTCCATAGTATACTGTGCGAAAACGTGGAAAAATTGAAATCAGCGTTCCTCAGATTATATCTTTTCAGTATTAAATATTTCTGTAATGTAAGTGGGCATAAGTCCGTTTTTTACTTTATACATGAAAATGACGATGTTTTGTAACCGTTATTGAGGCACACCTAGTGGACCTGCTCTTGTTAGTAGCTCGCTGTAGGTCTCCGATTTGGATTCAAAGACTGCCCTGAGTGCCCGCTCTTGAATTCTTTCCATCTCTTCCCATCGGATGATTTGCAAAAGTGCCATACAATATCACAATATGTAAAGTGGGGCGAAATATAAGACAGACACAGCTGTAACTCTTCAGACCATGGGATTAACTTAAGTAGTCCCAGTAACACCCCAACCTTTATAGTTCGTTTTCTTGCAAATATTACTGATATGTTAACTAAATGTCAGTTTGTTGTCGATGGTTACGCCAAGAATTTTGAGATAATCAATTGATTTAACTTCGTGTCCATCGAATTTCATCGTCAATTCATATCCAGGGGTTTTCTTGGAAGGATGTAGATCGATAGTAAGGATCTGGTATTTCTGAGGATTGGCTTGCGGTAGGTTTTACCTTGTACCATTGTGACACTGCCTCTGTTTGTCTCGTGCGAGTTTGGCTGGCCTTCAGTATATCACCGGTGTATATTTGATGGTCATCAGTAAACGTAAATAGATTAGCAGACTGCCTATGTAGTGAGAGATTATTTTGGAACACGTTCCAGAGTAAAGGCCCGAGGGAGGAGCCTTGTAGACACCCCCTTTTTTGTTCTTTCCATGCGCTGTGCGCTTCCTGTAGTTTGACTCTGTTTCTTCTATGCTCAAGAAAGGATCGCATAAGATTCTGTGATGCTTCGGAAAAGCCGTATGCTTTGAGGTTTCTGAACCATTAGTGCGGGGTGCAGTGAATCAAAAGCTTTGCTAATATCAGTGGATAGAACAGTCACGTAACCTTTATTATCTGTAGCCATTTTCCAGTCTTCTGTTAGCCATATTAAGTTGTTTCACAGCTATGTGTTTTTCTGTAGGCGGACATTTTCTGTTATAGATCTGGATCCATGGTTTTCGTGATTTGATTGGAAGGTAATGATTCGGATACTTTATCAATAGAGTTCAGAACTGTTGTAGGTCGGTAATTTCCCCGGTTGGTTTTATCTCCTTTCTTGAAAAGAAAACCCTATTTCCACGTGTTTGGCCGGTTTCCCTCTCTAATAAACGGTGTTGTAGAGAGTTTTCTCGAGTTCGGTTTTGGGCAAACAATTGTGCATATTTCCTTTTGTTCCTAATTGCCATTTGCCATTCTTCCGTCATATGTGGTACATCTTTCTGTCTAACTCTCATCTTCTTTTTCGGCATATGTTTGTCAAGTACACTTTCAAAAATGGTTTTCCATGCGTCATATTGGTCAACGATGGCATTGCGTGTTTCTCCAACAGTCCAAGGAGCATTTGCCAAGTCTTCATTAAGCTGAACCGTTTCCACGTTTTTCAGGCTTCTAATGGGATGGTCTTCCGTCTATACTGTAATGCAGATTGCTTTAAAATGCCATAAATGAGGTGGTGATCACATATCTCTGAGTTAAAAGAGCCTTCCGTCCTGAAAAGGTTGGATTTGTTGGTTAAAATAACGTCTAGCAGTGTCTCTGATGTCGGCCTAATCCTCGTCGGCCCGGTGATTAAACATTGCATTCCATTCACTTCTTCTAGGTCGCAAGTATTTTCCCTTCTCTGCTTTCTGCTTTTAGCCTGTCCAGCTTCAGATCACTTGTAATAACAAATATTTGTTTCTTGAGGGAAGCCCACTCACAGACGTCGTTCAGTTCCTCCTCTACACGTTCTAAATAATGTGGGTCTGGTTGGTGATCCGACTGTTTTGAGGATCGCTATATGCCAAGGAAAATGACTTCGTTGTTGCCAAGTCTAGCTTCTACTGCAATAATCTGGAGTGTTTTGTATTTCTTCGTTACGTTCAGCTCCTTCGAGGGTTGACTAGAATTAAAATAGGCCATTTCTCTCTGTCTTTTCGATACATGTAACCCGTTAAGGTGAACTAGCTCTTCGGGTAGGACTTGTCGATCTTTATCTCTGAGAGAAAAATAATTTGCGACTTCATCTCATCATTTAGGAGTTTCAGGTCATCAAATTTATTTTGGAGACTGTTGATGTATAGATGGAACATTAGTATCCGATTGAAATGTTCCTGCCTTTCTTGTAAGAGCACATCAAATTCCTGTTGGCCGCAGTTGTTAATTGCCATATTCTCCTGGGAGTGAAATTGTGTGTTCTTCATCTCACTTGCATTAGGTTGTAGAAGCTGATTTGTGTACTTTCCTTCGGTTGTTGTTATTTCTTCATTTTTAAGGAAAAATTAGTCCTTCAATCTCGGTAGAGAACATAGCAGACAAGTCCATTCAAAATAGATTGCTGGTCGTTCAAGAAAATATTTAAAAGTCAATGTCGACATGTTGAGGCACTTTGCTTGAATCCATAGACCACATTCAGAACATAACATCGCATTCTGATTGTTTCGAACGCTCTTCTCACCTTCGTTACAGAGAAACTTTATCAGGCCTGAATTAAGTTGAATATCTGCACAATGTTATAGTCATTGGATGTTAAACCAGCTCCGCTCATCGGTTGAGTGGCGCACTCGAAAAAGAAGAATTCGTTTTCCACGGCAAAGTGGTCTTTGATTCTGTGTTCTTTCAGGTTGAGATCCAAATTTCGTCCGATAACTGGTTATATTTGTCGTCTCTCGGTGCTTCCAGGTTTCCAGTACGTTTCTTGGTAAGTAGATTTTGGTCAACATAAAAAACGCGATACAGAGCCAACAAAGTCACAGAGTAGCGGGAGCTTTTCGAAGCGTGACAAATCGCTGCCATTGTTACGCATTAGATTCAATTAAATTAGATTCAATCAAGAGTATTTAAAGAAACTTAGTTTATACCTTAGACAAAACAGAGCACTCGCTAAAAATCACTTGTCTCAATCTTCATGCGTAAGGCGTGAAGAATTTCAATCGCAGGAACTAATTTCTTCAACTTTCATATATTGTTTTTAATAATATTGTTCTTTCTTTTGTGCTCTTTTGGTCGGACATGATTGGATAATGATAGTTCTTATTATTATTATTATTAATTTTATTTAACGAGGGTAACATCGATTAATGATAACTCAATAGTTTACATAATCCCCCCTTTGATAATCTAAAACTAGAACAAACCAAATCTGAAGGAAAAGAAAAAGAAGCTTGGTAAATTCAAGTTAATATTTGTATTCAATAACACACTGTTCAGTAACAGAGCTTTTCCAGTCTAATTTTTCTGTGAAGGGGACTTAAAAGGCGCCTCTGTGACTTCGTATCTCCAAGAGATGGTTCTGGTCCGTTCCATCGACGAGTGGCACTGGAATGGAATCTTCTGAGGCCTTAATTTTTCTTGCTCATAAGCATGATGAGATGATTTCTTTCTGAGGTTCTCGTGTAGTGTTTTGACTAACCTTAGTGAAGTCAATGTGAAAGAAAAGATATTCTTAAACATGGTCGTTACCGATTTTGTGAAATTGCGCGAATGATGTCGTCGATGGGAAGCCAACCTAATTTGGTAAATAACATAACTGAATTGTCCTGTAAATTAACATCTAGCATCACTCTGGCGCAGCGTCTCTGTAGCCGTAACAATTTATTCAACTGTTATTTTGTACAGTTACCCCATATTGTGCAGCAGTATGCAAGAACTAGTTTTATAAGGGAATTATAGAGTAATCGAGAACACCAAGTACAAGGTGAGGGAAATCAGAGTTTATTTTTCCGTTTGCCTTAGCCGTTAACGCCTCTATAAAAAAAAAAAGCTCACTAATGCTGTTAGTGATGTATATCTATGTCAACTATGGCAATGTTAATCCTCTAAGAGATCATCTCTAGGTTAAGATATGGAGCAAAAATTGGTTTAACTGTAAACTCTAGCAATTTGTGATAGACAGTCTTTAACTGTGATCATGATAGCATATCTGATCGTTCACATGAACACGAAATAGCTAATGAGCAGAGATATTGCTGTGGAGTACGAGGTCGTCACCGAGAAGGCGTCTCCAACTGGAGGGACCGTTTTTCCGACTGTAGGGGCCGTTGTTCCGACTGGCGTGGCCGTTTTTCCGACTGGAGGGGCCGGTGTTGTGCTTCTTTCGCGGCAGTTGGACTGTCTAGGAGGTAAGGGCTTCATGATCTTTGGAATCGGATATGTGTAGTTGTTAGGTCTCTGGGAAGGAAAACATTAACAATATTTCACAGGAGACTCAGCGCTGTACACTTACTTTTACTCCTCTAAGGAGGTGGCAGACTTACTGTTGCATACTGAATCAGATTGAAGATAAAGAAAACTACGATTACGATGAAAACTATGCCTATGACCAGGCATTTACCATCCCAGATTAAGAGGGTCCCCTCCACCCAATAGACAAGCACACACACCCATGATCATACACCCATTATTTGTTTTGTTTTATCATTTCGACATCTTTTCATGCACATTATGTCGGGATCTCATTATCACCCTTAAGAATGGCACTATATGGTAACGTAAACTTTAGCGAGTGTCGTGCCCCCTCCTGAGTTTACTGACCGCGCGGCAATGTGAAAAAAATGTGTCTGCTTCATCGAGTCTCTTCCTCAAGTCTGACGCCAATTCCTTCGTCCATGAGATATTTGCCCCAATGAGAGGATTTGACCGTTTTGTCACCGCCATGGAAGGGCTAAACAAAAGAAGATTTAAATTAAAAATAGACTCAAATCTAACATTGCTTAAAACAAGACATGCTATATCTATACGATTTATTAAACAATTTTTGGTTTAATTCCGCAATCATGTTCGCTTCTTTTGGTGTAATGATGTGTATTTATCATCCACTTCGTGTTCTTCAACTCTTCTCGTACTTTTTTGTTCTCTAGGTTGTTATAAGGATAATGCAATGTAAATACAGTTACGTGCTTAAATTCATGGGTTGGTCATTTTTCACTGTGTGAGTTGACTAGAACGCCAATGAGATTTATCCAGCTTCTTAATGACTTGGGAAAGAAAGGATGCCAGTCATGATCAATGCTGAATCTTCTATTACCTTCAAGAAACTTGCTGGACGGATCATTTCGTTTCACGCGAAGAATGAAATACGCGGATATAAGCTATGATAGAGCCCTTTGTAAAAGAAATTCATTTCCTCCTTTCAGGGGGGGATACCTTAGCACGACAGTATAAGATTGAACCAAATACACAAATAGCATATCTATGGAATAATTACAATGATCCGAATACCAATACTTCAGTGTTAAACTTCTTACTTTTTTTATTCATAGACGATGCCAGTACTTGTGAAATTAAACAGGGATGGGTGATTATTAAATAAAATAGCTCCCAAAAACGACTTCTTGTTGAGAAATGCGAAAGATTTAAGCTGGCAAAGCATGCAACACTGGTTTTATTTGAGCTGTTGTCCCACTTTTAAGGCTCTTTTTGATTATTTTCACGACTAACGTATTAGGGTGGTTTCTAAGCAGCAGACCAGGTCTAATTTAACATTATTTTAACAAGTTTACTTTAACAAGTATGTATTAATTCACTTACAAGTGTTCTTTAATGAAGTCGTACACTGGCTTACGTAGAGAGCTGGAGCAATATGCTGTAGCATTCACCATTCGAGGATAGTAAAACATGTAATTCAGACACATTTCTTGAGTGGTAGAGAAACCAGCCTGTAAGTGGAATAGGAGTACATCATCTGTCACTCTGTCATGAAGCATATATAGCAAAAATCAACGATGGCATGTTTTTGTTGCAATCACTTGAAATAGGGATTGAGAGAGGTGTCACTGCTATGAGAAAACCAACGCCAATCTGAATTCTGAATGCCGCCCATACTCTTGGAGAGACTAATCAGTGACTTTTGAGGGCTCAGATATCGCACTTGCCTGCACGAGTTTATCGCGATCCATTGTCTCGTATTTGCAGAAATGAATTAAGTCGTCCCCCTGAAGGATAAGAAAGACGTCAGTCAAGAAAACGGAATATAAAAATTTTATGTCACAAATGTGTGGCGATCATTTGCAGGCGAATTTTCAAATCCCGATCTGATAGAAAAGATCAAACACACATAAACTTAATCTAATTTTATTTAAAAAAGGAATTTAAAATTATCATATGCAATGTTGTTCTTCCATCAGAATATTCAATCACATTTGCGCATTTAGATACTAATTTAAAATGGTCGCGTGGAGAGCTTGAGTGCATTGAATAAATCAATGGGACACATCTTCTAACTCATATAAATTATTATTTGTTTATGAGCTAAAATAAAATATAATTCTAGAAAAAAGTGGCACTAAAATCAAAGTTTTCTCAAACCGGTTTGATGTGAGCCTCTTCTCTCAAAACTTGTATATCCTGCGAAACAACAGGTAAATGTTAATTATTGGAAATGAAGAAAAGTTTTTTTAATAAGATCATTTCGCAGCTTGGCAGCCAGCAATGTCCAATGCAAATTGTTTTCTGAAAGGAGCCATGTATTACAATTCTCGTGCATTCGCTAAATGCTAATAGTGAATCTTGTGCCACATTAAGTCGCACCATTGGTATGAAGTATAAATTACCTGAAAGTTAAAATCATAATGGTCATCTCTTGCAATTTCTGGTAACTCAATTCCGTTGCGAACATGCTTTGTCCATGTTGCACGCCCTGTGGATGAAAACAAAAACTCAGTTATATTTAAGTTTGGCTCCATAATGAAGTACGACTGTCAACAGAACGTGGAAACATAAGACAGGCAGGCGTAAATATAAACAAACAACAACCACTACTTCTAAACAACGAAAGCAGAGCAAGGTCACTTACCCTGCAGGTGGGTGTGAAGAAGGACAGAAAACACTTTTATTCCTTTTTCAGGGAGCTTAGTCGCCTGCAGGTCTTCCTAAGAAAAAAGGTGCTTTACATTAAGTGCAGGAGTAAATTTATGACACACGTTCCTAGGCACTGTGCAAACTTAAATGCACCGTGTATAAAAAAAGGTAAAATCATAATTTGTAAACCACATGTGTTTTGCCCCTTTTCGAAGCCAGCTTCACCATATTGCCTTTTTTCCCCTTTTTTTGGAAGTCTGGATTGCATGAAGATGAATTAGAAATTTTCATGAAAACGCAGAGTGATTGTGAACATTTGAGACAATTTACCTTATAGCATTCCTTGGGACAGTAACCCACAGTCAACCAAGATTCCTGTTTTGGTGGGATTATCGCAAATTTACTTATACGTTCTCCAACAGACATTATCCCAGCATCGTACTCACGGAGATGAGAAGTGTAGTAAAAACGAACCCCTGAGCTATCTTTGCGTCCTATTTGACAAAAAATATACTATATTGAGGGAATGAGATATTTTTTAGATGAGGGCAAAATACGACGCCTCTCATTGTTTCTATTTCTTAATTTAAAATTAAAACTAATAAAAAAAGCAAAATGTGAGGTGCTAACCTTCAATTGCATCGGGATTGTCATAGTGTAGCTCAAGCAAAAGTGTTCTTGGCGAGTCCGACGTACCAATTGGATACCCAGCCTTCGGTGGATAATAAAATGCCTGTTTAATAAAAAAAAAAAAAAAATTTTCGGGAAGAGTAACCAAAAACCTTCTAAATTCAAAAAGTTAACAGTCCGTGCCATAACCATTTCTGGATACTTGATGACGTCACCAACATGGATGTCGTAGTGGGACATCGAGGAAACTCACTCATTACTTTATTCGAGCCCTAACGACTTAGTTCCCTACCCATATCCCATGAAACCTTGCAAAATTACAGAAGACAAGCAATTACACACAACAAGCAAAGAACTGATGGTGGTCGTGATGACGAAAAGGAAAAATTCAGACTAAAAGTCGGGTGGAGGTCCATGTTGCGAAGGGCTCGATCGAGGAATAACCTCTATTTAGTTGAGGTTTTCAGGTATGCTACATTTTTTTGATTCCTAAAAAAAATCTTTTAAAAAACTAGAATAAATTTGCTTCCAATTTGTCAAAATTCCAATCGAGTGCACGAGGTTTTTGCTCGAGTGCACGAATGTTGAAAGTCTGTTAGTCTGCAAACTACCAGACGGATTCCTTTGTTCAGATCCATCGGAGTATCGTGTAAACCATAAATTTTAACCATACGTTGTGGCTGGCCAATTTAAAGTAAAAGGACAATTATTTATCGGACCTTTATAAGCCTACATTGTGAATTTCAGATCAAGCCAACAGCACGGATGAACACATTCAGTATCTCGAGACACTTTGTCGTCTTTGTGGCACAAATCTGCCACGAACCTGGTTCAGTGCCATAAACAAAGAATCTTTTAAATCGGAGCTCTGGATGAAATTTCTAATCAATGTCGATCTTGACATCAGAGAGATTCATTCAGCCAAGGCGAATGCACACTAAAAAATAATTTCAGGAAACCACGGATCTAACACATAAATGTGATTAAGTAAGTTCTCCTTCGGGCAAACATAAAACAAAGAGGTATTCGTTCACTGAGCTCTCACATCTTCAGGTATCGTATCCGGGAAATGTGCGATAAGAGCGGCATGAAGATGAAATAAAGAAATCACATTGGTGGAAAGCCTTGCCGAAGTGTCTCTATTACAACATTCCGGAAACAAAGGTTGGAGTTTAACTACACGAACTGATGAGAGTGAAATTTTCGTCTAAAACCACAAGGGACTTGTCTGTAATTGTGAAACTCGTTTAGAAACACCGCTCGTGCTTCCACATTTTGCAGTGATTACCTAAACAAACTTTCTATACAGGGTGTTCAAATCAAAGGGTAATTGTAAAGGACATATTATTGCTGACTAAAAGCTGTAGGACCGAATTTGTAGTGTTCTGAGACCTAGATTCTCCCGCGAATCGATCAATAGCGCGCAAAATACCTTGTATGATTCTCTTGCATTGAATTCGATCATGTGTATTCGTCTTAATATAGATTGTGACTACTTGATTTTATTTTATCCCACTCATGTATTTATTGGCGTTTATTTTCCAGGTATCATAATTTCAAGATCAAAGCTCCACGTGGAACACTGCTTGTTATTCAAAGTGAAGACGACAACACGTATGACTCGCATGCACTGGCTTGTCTTCTTCCACGAGAAATGGAACGCATTCCAGAGGCTCTACGAGAAGTCCAGATTTTCAGCAAATCGCAGAGAAAGACATACACTTTAGAAGATGTCAAAGGGCAGCAGATCGGCACGGTTCAGCACTTTCTAAACATACAGCTGCATGCTTTGCTTCGATGTGGCAAAATATCCAGGAATTGAAGGGTAAGTTACTGTTTTCTTGCTTTACTGTTACGTTTTCGTAAAGGCTTGATGGACTGAAATTGATAATGTCAGTTTAGAAATCGGAGAGAAGCAAGATATTGTCTTTCCTCGACCTATACTGGAGAGAAATGAAATTATCCCGATTCCGCTATCTCACACCTTACTCGTCCCAATTGTTATCAGGGCGCGTTATTTGGTTCAACCTTATTTAATTGGTTTTCTTGTAACCCAAAATAGGGAAATCAACGGAGAACGGACAGTAACATCGAGGCCAAGCTCTACCCAGAAGTTCTCCAGATACAAACAGGCTGGCGGAGGAGCTTTTATTTCTGTGACGCTCTTGGTGGAAGGACCACAGCGTTACAAAGAATTTGTGCTAGAAGGAATCCGCTTTACTCTTCCAGAATGCGAGAATGTCGAGGACATGCATGTTGAATGTTTGAAATAAACGAATATTTTTAATGGTATCTTACGTCCAGTCCTTATTAGCGAATTTTGTTTCAGCTTACTACCGCATTACAACATGGCCGCCACAAAAAAAAAAAAAATCAGCTTCTTCTCATTTCCAGCACCTCTCGGCCAAATTTGCTTTGTTTTGGTTTTGATCTTACCCAATCACAAAGCTCGAAACCGATATCCAGAAATGGTTATGGCCCGAACTGGTTAATTTCCTAAAGTGAGCGATTCCAATTTATAACTTTTATATCTTACCGTACCACCAACAGCCCAAGCAGCAACGACACTGTAGCCGTAACAATGTCTTAGAGGCATATTGGGTGTTTCATGACAATCAAAGCCAGAACCATGTAAGGCAGCATTACTAAAATTTCCATAACACTCGTAGACGAGTAAATGATGCACGATGCCTTCGTTTCCAGGTGTTACATATGGCTCAAACTATAAAAGAGGAACAAACTGAAAATTTGCGAAAGCGACACCAACATCAATAGTGGAACGCTTTACTTCTAATTATTGATTACTTGATACAAGAAAATATCTAGAATGCCACTAAGAACCAAACGTTTGTGAAACCTTAGGCCAACTGGCACACCTTTCGTAAATCTACCTTAGGTTCTTCCCTGTTCCTAGACATTTCGTAACCCGCCGTTAACTAACCATTCCACTTAAAGGTGTGGCTTTTTCTGACACGACTAATCAAAAGTGGAGAATTTTGAAATGCATAAATGAAATGTCGAAAGTTATTGCAATGTCACTAAATCTCACCGACTACAAAATTGCCTTTCCTTGGAGAACTCAGTTGGAGCGTCTAAACGATTTGTTATCAACGCATTTCTAAACATGTAAGTTCATATTTTTGACTCATTTTCATAAGAATTTACACGGTGGCCTTCTGCACTGATCAGTCACTTAACCATAAGAAGAGACAAACGGATGAAACAGGTTTCATTGCAATGTTTTGCACTTCTGTACTCACCTTTGTAATATGATGCTTTGATTTGAACTCGGGTAGTTGGATAAGAGAACACCAGTACGTTGTGTGCTTTTTAGGAATTGTTACCTGAAGAAAAGGTATTTTTATTTTGAGTAGGCTTCAGATTCCATGACTGGACACTCTTCGCTTTCGACAACATTCTCCACAATTTAGAACACTTAAAGAATAATTTTTATTTGTCACTAACATTTCTATTTGTGACGTAAAACTGCTGCCACCCGGTTTCGTTCACTTGTTTTTTGTCCATGTTGTTAAGAAGTAGAATGCTCTTCGACCCTCGGAATGTATGTTTCTTCATATCGTCCTCAGACGTGGGGTCCTCTGCATGATATGCAAACACAACTTTAGTGGTGCCTTCCTATGAAAAAAAGAGTAAACAGTGAAATACCAATTTCCGTTATTTGCTTTAAAAAAAACAAGAGAACATAATTAATTAGCGCTGAACAGTTGAATGATGTAGCTATAAATATTATATCAACATGGTATACAATTTATTCAGACACAGTGACACTGCCTTTAAAAGGCAGTACAAATACTTTTTTAGCCATGATTAAATATTTTGGCCGAGTTGACTGATACGGGAAAAAACGAATAGGCTATGTTAAGGATTACCTCAATCTTCCTGTCGCGAGGATCACAGGTGTCAAATTTCCTACTAAATCTCAACACAGTTTTCCCTTCGCTTTCCTCAAACCCAGTTAAGTTGTAATTGTTTTCTTTGTCCAACGGTGGAAAGCTTTGGGAATCAGCAAACCGGTCCTTCAAAAACAAGTCAATAAAACGAGATCAAAACTAACCGTGGTTATCTATTTTTCTAGGCCAAGCTTCATTCACAGCTTAACTGCAGACTATTCTGTAATGAAAAATGTACAGCTTGGAGGTGCCAACTCTTTAAAAAGGCAATTGGTTTGCTCCTTTTTGATTTCCCTCACCAACAACGACTTATAATACGAAACTGTTTTGCATAACTTAAATAACAAAAAAATCTTAGATGCATTAGTTTACCTTTATCTACAGACACGTTATCGTGACAACAGGCCAATGTTGTGCTGATACTGCTAATAATGCAAACAATGTTCACAGAAGAGCAAATCTTTGCTTGAACAGCATTTAAATTCCAATGTTTCCGTGCAACTACGAATACGTCCTAAATTTAGGCACTGGTTTGAAAGTGTTGGAAGTTTTGATCCAAATAGAAATGGCTAAAAATGCAGTTTTTAACGTCGCTTTGGCTATTTGTTTAGTCATCTAAATCTGGATGTCGTGATGGCGTTAACTCCTTCTTTTCTTTGTCAACCTTTTTGTTTTTCTGCCCAGAACTTCATCGTGACTAATGTCCTTTCGGCAAAAATTCTCTTACCGTTAGGTAACCCTTGGAGTCCTTCACCCATCCGATAACCATGTCGCTTCCGGCCATATTTCCATTACCCGAAGAGATTCCGAAACCAACCCACCCTGTTGTTGCTGCCTGAACGGCAAAGGATACGGTTTTATTTTCCCAGTTCACCGTCCAGAACAGTTTCATTTTCTCGTAAGTATCTAAAACTGCTTCGTGAGCAAACTCAGCAGACAAATCAGCGCCATTGGCAGGGACCAAAGCTGAAATTGCTATCAACATTAAGGAGAACATGTTGCCGGCATAAGCTTGCTGCCGCTCTTTTGACAACTAAACTTGGAGGACGTCACTGAATATTACGTAGATCGTTTCGTAACTAAGAGACAGATGCACGTGGGGAGCACAAACTCATTGTGATTGGGCACATACCTTACCCCACGACCTCCAGAACTGCCCTCCTTAATTAGGAAACTAAGGTCGAACCAATGCTGACGGCCATCCCTCCACAACGACCACCTCTTCACGTCGAACATTTTTGTTTTACCCTGGTGGACAGTTCACTTAGGCCTTTTTCCCTCTCTTGACACTCCTCACAAGGCGAAGGCCGCTAAGCTGCAGCGTAGATGCTACATAACTTCTCCACGACGTTTGACAAAGTAAAATACGTGACAAATCAATCGGGCACACAATATTTGACAGTGCTATACAGAGGCGTAATAAATGTCTGTATAACTAAAAACAGCTGTTCTGCAAACTTGTATCTAATCAAATTAGAAGATCCTCGCAGCTAAGAACACAACTGAAACTAGTAGTTGTAAGTAGGACCTGAAAAAAATTTCAGGCCCGTACGGGATTTGAACCCATGACCTCTGCGATACCGGTGCAGCGCTCTACCAATTGAGCTAACAAGCCAACTGGGAGCTGGTCAATGAATTGGGTACAAATAAACAGCCGAGTGAATGAAGATTTAGATATATGAAAATTCACATATTTGCACTGCGGTGGAAAGATGAAATTAGAAGATCCTCGCAGCTAAGAACACTACTGAAACTAGTAGTTGTAAGTAGGACCTGTTTCAGGCCCGTACGGGATTTGAACCCATGACCTCTGCGATACCGGTGCAGCGCTCTACCAATTGAGCTAACAAGCCAACTGGGAGCTGGTCAATGAATTGGGTACAAATAAACATCCGAGTGAATGAAGATTTAGATATATGAAAATTCACATATTTGCACTGCGGTGGAAAGATGAAATTAGAAGATCCTCGCAGCTAAGAACACTAAATTTGAAATGTGAATTTAAATTTAATTTTAAATTAACATTTAATTTAAATGTGAATTTTCATATATCTAAATCTTCATTCACTCGGATGTTTATTTGTACCCAATTCATTGACCAGCTCCCAGTTGGCTTGTTAGCTCAATTGGTAGAGCGCTGCACCGGTATCGCAGAGGTCATGGGTTCAAATCCCGTACGGGCCTGAAATTTTTTTCAGGTCCTACTTACAACTACTAGTTTCAGTAGTGTTCTTAGCTGCGACTTCTAATTTCATCTTTCCACCGCAGTGCAAATATGTGAATTTTCATATATCTAAATCTTCATTCACTCGGATGTTTATTTGTACCCAATTCATTGACCAGCTCCCAGTTGGCTTGTTAGCTCAATTGGTAGAGCGCTGCACCGGTATCGCAGAGGTCATGGGTTCAAATCCCGTACGGGCCTGAAATTTTTTTCAGGTCCTACTTACAACTACTAGTTTCAGTAGTGTTCTTAGCTGCGAGGATCTTCTAATTTCATCTTTCCACCGCAGTGCAAATATGTGAATTTTCATATATCTAAATCTTGTATCTAATCATTTTGTATCACTCGTTTCGTTTTGTTATCAATCTGAACATGAGCTTTTGGTTTCCTAAGAACTGCTATGCTTTGACTCAGTTACCTGTTTTTATTTTGTACGTACCTTGGCGTTGTTGTTGATGTTGCTTTGTTTAGTTGTTTTGTTTTGTTCTTTTTTTTTTTTTAAGAAGTATGAATGCTCTGCCCTTCGGAAAAATCAGAAGTCACACTGCTCGCACCTTAAATAACCGCAACCTCACGACAAAGTTTTTGTTACTTTGTTCCAAAGTTAGACTTCGTAGAGAAGTTCGAACTGATTTGGATAAAAAGTCCACTGCTAATATACCGGGCGCTAATAGGTTACAGAAACAAGGAGATAAAGTTATTCCCTAAAGAAAACGCTGAGGCCGATTACATCAGCACACTTATTCCTTCGATCTTCAACAGAATAACGCACTCATTTCGGATTAGAAATCGCAAGCTTAGGATGGAGTCCGGCAATCGCAAAGGAGACTCCGCAAGAGGAACAGTAATGAAGGTGGATGTGAAGATAAACTTCTCTGGTTACCTGGTAGTAAGTTCCCTTGATTAAGCCAGAACTTCAAACGGAGGATCAGATAGATTGAATCCCCAACACCATCTTAATTAATCGTTCCTAACGACTTAAATATCCCGCGTTTATAGCTGGAATAAAAAGCAGCTAATACCCCAGTTTGCTGACGCTAACTTTTACAGAGAAGCATGAAATAGCGATAATTTGTTGGTTGTCAGGGGGGAGCACAATCTGTGGTTGGTTTAGTGCAACCTTCTTGTATGGAAGAGATTTCCGAGAGTGAAACTACGACGGGAAGGGTGTAATCTTGTTTAAAGCTCGATAGAACACTGCTTCCAATTTATTGTCTGTTAATTGGTGCAGTACATCGTATGTAGGCTTTAGGATTAACAATCTATGCGTCATCCAGTATGCTTCGTTATGCAGAAGTCGTCGGTTCTTGAACGCATCTGTGTGTCACACTAACACCTCTTGTACTTTCTAACTACTTTTGTTAACCTAATGCCGGATCAGAAGTGAAATTATCCAAACAGTGCTATTATTTATCATCATTAATTTTCACACACTGTTTCACCATTTATCTCTAATGTTACAAGTTGATCTAAAAACGAGGAGACCGTCAAAATTGATTCATCTAATCATATTTAAAAAAAACAGATAGTCTTCCCGATGGATCTCCGTCCTTCAGATTTATCGCAACACAATAAAAGGGAATCATGAACACATGTGCAAAGTCATCAGAACTACCAAACTGTTTATTAATTTGCTATATGTTTATCTTAAAATACGGTTTCTTTTATCATGCGTAAAAAAAGAAAAAAGCTCCACGTCAAATCTTACAGCAACATCAAATACACCATCAGCAAAGAAAGAAACAAAGAACGCGAGGCAGTCACCAGAAGTCCAGAGGCAGCAGCTGGTTGATCACACTTTGACTCTTTTGGTGGTAGAGAACGGGTTATCTTTGGCACTGACAACCTGTTGCCGGGTATTTTTCCCTGTCAAATACGAAATTAAATCGATTAGCATATAGATAAACGACTCGAAAAATCCGAAAATCATGCGACACTTTTCTGTTGAAAAAACGTACTGTGTAATTATCAAAACAGAAAAAACATCAGTGTCGGTTTCAAGCTGTCTTTCTTAACTCCACTTTTTTACCTTTTTGATGATATACCAAAATTTAAGGAAATGATTTATGACATACCCGAGTAGGAGGGTTTACTTACCCAAAGACAAGGTGCAAGAAATGTTTCAGCTTCGTTGTATCTCCTCTGCAAGTCTATCGCCATTTCTTTCGTCCAAGTAACATTCGCACCAACAAGAGGATTAGACCACTCAGACGTCACGTTGAGGGATGCGCTGCCATCAGAAATAAGCAAATAGTGATCGAATAAATGAACAGTCGCTAAAAGAAATATTCATCCAAAATTTCCAGGCGCCATCCTTGAAACTTCAATTCCGAGAAAAGTCCGCTGCCGGTTAGGAATATCAACAGTACTTACATGTTACTTCTGATGAAGTCTTGTACTGGGTCTCTTTGAAGACTGACGCAGTTTAACGTGACATTCGACACTTTTGGATAGTAAAATAAGAAGTTTAGGCACATCTCTTGAGAGGTTGCTATTCCACCCTAAATATATGAAGCATAAAACGAAATAATTAAAATAATGAAAAAGTAACAACAGATCTTTCGCAACGTGGAAACTCCAAGGTTATGGCGCAATGATTGATAGTCAATATATGATACCCAACTGAGGAGCTTCAATCCCGTAACTTTCCTTGAAGACCAAAAGAGGTACAAGCTTACTAAAGGTACTACATTTAAAGGATTCCCTGAAGTACAACAACTTCAAAACAAATCATAAATTATCCTCAGGCAGGCAGATGAAGATATAGGGCTTTCCAAGGTTGTGATTAAAGTAAGCGCCAAGTAAGTTTCCGATAAACTACTGCCGAAAAACTGTTGACGTGCTTCTGAGCGAGTTAACTACTAGAAAGCTACACCATGCGTGTTTCATAAATTTACCATCATTATGTGTATGATAATGCATTTTCCCCTGCTGTCAACTTACCATTACGAGCTTATCGCGGTCCATAGTTTGATATTTGCAATAATGAATCAAATCGTCTCCCTAAAGGACAAAAAAAGGTCAATATATTTGGCAATGTTTGATTTTCATGTCTTAATGTCGATAAGGCATTTAAAGTTGAGCAAATGTATTTAACATTTGTTAATCCTTTTCTTTGCATCAGAAGATTTTCAACTCTTCTTAAAAGTAAAATGTGTTAAGTGGCTCTCACCGGTTTTACGTGAACCTCCTTCCTTAAAATTTGTATATCCTGCGAAAGGAAAGTTAACTTGTCTTTATGATAATTAGATCAAATAACCGATCGATTCAATTTTAACTGATTGAAGGGATAAAAACGAATGAAGGAATAATTCTTTAAAAGTGACTACATGTGATACCATCATAGGGGTGAACATTCCAGATAATTATACAACCAACAGTGCATGCTTCTGTTCTTGCATTCAACGAAATTTTAAACTTTCTCCCCTATTGTCAAAATTTCCGTTTCTTTTTCTGAGAATGTTTTCAAGAATAACTATGTAGGCCCACTTATGCCCGTCGCTAGCAGTTTAAAGGTTCACCACAGAATCGATTATACGTATATGAATAACAAAGCAAACTTAAAGTGGAGATAAAGAAGCGTTAACTAATTCATTTACCTGAAAATTAAAATCATAATTGTCATCACGGACAATTTCAGGTAATTCAACTCCGTTGCGGACATGTTTCGTCCATGTTGCACGCCCTGATGGAAAAGTATAGCAGTATGACTTTTATGAATCTGCACTCAATAAAAGAATCCATGGACAGATTAGACATTATCAACTGCACAGCATGTTGTCTGAGACAACAATGAGTTCTTTCTAGCTTGTATGTATTTTGTATTTGGAAATAGGAAGAATATGAAATAGTTTAAGTAGACATCAATAATGGACTAACCCTGTAGATGAGTGTGAAGGAAAGAAGCAAAGACCTTTATCCCTTTTTCTGGAAGTGTTGTCGATTCCAACGTTTTCTGAAAAAGGGTGGAAATAGATGAAATGGGAAAAAATCGCAAAGGTGGGAACACATTTATGCATTACATTTCCAGGTGTTTGAGCAAAATTTCTTTCGATGAGAAATGCCGGCACACAAACAGTTCCCAAATCTCAAAGAGCAAAATATCTGCGACAAAGTTACCTGATAACACTCTTTGGGGCAATATCCTTTAGTTAACCAAGATTCTTGTTGTGGCGGGATTACCATATATGAGGTAAATGCTTCTCCGACTGTCATTGTACCAGCATCGTAGTCACGGAGGTGGGGAGTGTAGTAAAAACGAACTCCCGAATTGTCTTTTCGTCCTTTAAAACAAAGTAACGATTCAAATGTGAGAACACAGCCCAAGAGACTTTTTTGAAGCTCAATAACAGCAAAAGAGCTGTTTTAAAGCAGCTTAATATCAACAGCAGGGACAGATTCACTGACCTTCAATATTCTCTGGATTGTCATAGTGTAGTTCTAGAAAATAATTATTTGGTGAATCTTCCGTTCCAATCGGGTAACCAGTGTGCGTTGGATAGTAAAATGCCTAGGCGTTAACAAAATAAATAGTAAATGAGATCACTAATTATGCCGTAGTGGGTTTTTAAGATAAATACAAATAGTTTTGATTTGCATTTCAATTTTAATAAAATTATTAACTTCATCTAGAGTATCATCAACCAAAACTCTTTACCTCGCCTCCAACTCCCCACGCCGCTACAATATTTTGAGAGCCGTAACACTCTCTTAGTGGCATATTTGGATCCTCACAATCATACCCAGAGCCATAATGGCTGTCATTATAGTTCCCTGGACATGTGTAGACCACAAGATGATGCACGATACCTTCGTTTCCTTTTTTCACAACTGGCTCAAACTGAAAAATGAAAATGATGAAAGTTATGGTGGTCAGACTTATCTCAGGGGAAGTTTAAAACGTCCTATGAGAGAAATTTCAGTACAAGCGAGAGGGGCTACATCGGGTAACGGAAAATGCGCGTAACAAACAAAATGTTTAATTTATAGTTGACCATTACCAATATATATGAAAAACGACGAAACGATTTTGTGAAAATGAAGCATAAGGTCAACTCTAGATGAGAAAGACGTGTAGGGCGACAAAGCCCACAAGTGCCAAATGGAGGGTTTTATCGTTGAATCGTCTTAAGTTTGGTCCAAATGAATAACAAGCTGACCCATGGAAGACTTGATCAGCATACAATTAAACTGAATAGTGACAATAACAAGTTAAAGACGATGGAAAAGACACTGAAAACAATTGACCAGTAATAAAGTACATCAGTGTAATGACAAACCTTTGTTATGTGGTGTTTGCCTCTGATTTCCGGGATCTTGACGAGAGAACACCAGTATGTTGTGTGCTTTTTGGGAATTGTAACCTGTAATATGATGTTATCAAGGATTTAATTTTTAACTGTGATTTCGGACAGAAATAAGTTTTCGTGAAGAAAAGATTAGCATCTTGTAATAATGATCAAAAGCATGTACCCACATTATAACTGAAAACGTCGAATTGCTTCCATCCTTTCTCATCCACAGTTTTCTTGTCCAAATTATTAAGGAGAAGGATACTCCTTGAACCCCTAAAGGTATGTTTCTTGATGTTATTCTCAGACTTTGGGTCTTCTGTGTGATAAGCAAAAACGACTTTTGTGGTACCTTGCTGAAAGAAACGTGAAGAACAAAAGCGCATTTAGTGGCAAGGAAAAAGCACTAAAGTTTCCATTCTTTCATACTCAATTGGAGAAAAATAATTTTATAAAGTCAAACATATACAAAATGCGAGGAATATAAAATATTTAGCGGTTGGTTTTTATACTTCAATCTTCCTATCTTTAGGATCACAGGTGTCAAATTTTCTTTCAAACTTCAACACGGTTTTGCTGTCTGTTTCCTCCCAGCCAGTCAAATCGTAGTTTTTTTGCCAGTCCAAGGGCGGTAGACTCTCTGCATCAGCAAAACGATCCTGAAAAGAAGACAAAAGCGAAACTTTCATTTTATGTGTGATAGTAAAGGAACAAATGATTACTTTCAAATCAGGGTATAAATAGTGAGGTTCATGAAGGGAACGTTACTGTAAATAGAGTTGTTATTTACTTGGATACACATTTCTTTAGAGTTACACATCGATGTAAATTTCCCAAACCCCTCGGTTTATCATCCGCACGCTTTTCCCAAGGTTGCCCGGGCAAATCATTCACTTACAGCAGATCCGTCATAGGCTCGTACATCTATGGACAGTCAATGGACTGCTCTCTAAGGTTGTGAGGGGTGGCGCCACAATGCTACATCTCGAACTTTACTTGCCGCGAACCCATTCAGTGAGAGCCTCAAACAGTTCAGTCATTTCGTGCCCAGCTAGGTCGATTCGGACAGTTTCCCTCATACCCATGTACTAATAAGGCACGTGTCCATGTAAAGTATGTCTAAAGTAAGTTCGGTTTTTTATTTTAAATAGCAATATGACGTGAGATAGCTACGAGCACTGCAGTTTACGAAACATTGCTATATATTTACTCGTTGGCACATGGCCGGGATGAATGAGTTTTTGAAACGGTTGATGTGAAATAGTGGCAGATTGAAAGTTCTTTTGCTTCTCAAGTTATATGAACCTTGATGACGTGGGGGAAGTTAGTGGGCGAGACTGTGATCGCTCGAATTGGCGATGCCACTGAATAGCATCTTTGACCTAGAGTAAAGAGTCCATAGCTCTCTAGGGATTGTTTAGACGATTGATAAGGCGCGATTATTGACATGGTTCTTTTCTGGACGCGCTCGAGGTGTTCACTAAGGTATTCAGGAAGGCTATGGTGCAAAATAGGGGTACAGTATTCTAATACTGATCTTATAACTGCACAATAGAATTGTATAATGTCCTGATGGCTAACACCAGCCCTCTTAAGGAGCACTAAGAAATGCAAGCGCTTATTTGCTTTTCTTATCGACTCATATACATGCCCGTTCCATTTCAGATCTTTAGATATCGTAACTCCTAATATCTTAGCACGTTGCTCCTTAGAAAGTTCCTTCCCACCGACTACTACAGGATCGAATGATTGCTTGTTCTTCTTAAAATAAATAGTCGATTCCTTGCATTTATCCGCGTTGAGTTGCATATTCTGCTCATGAGATCAGTCCTAGACGGCGTCGACGGCGCTCTGGATGTTACTTCGGCCTCCCTTAGGCGCGATTTCGGCTATGGTGGTGTCGTCCACATACTTTTACATACGTACGTTACTAACTCTCAAGTCATTTATCATTAAGATGAAAAGCCAGGGGCCCAGTTTTGTGCCTTGCGGCACACCAGCGGCACACCTGCGACAAACAACTTATTTTCTTGGTATACGTCATTCCGTTTTCCGCATTCCTTCTTGTGCCATTCAGACAAATATAACATCATAATTAACATAATGAACCGTTTTAAAATCTCTCTTGAAAGCGTTAACCGCAGTGAAACAAACCTGGTACGAGCTGAACGAAACTAATTATAGCAAATTCTCTTATTCATCCATCGACCTTAATCATAGAAACAGTTTTTTTTCCAGTTTTATGAGGTAATTAAGGAATCTTTTCAAATGAGGGGTCTATTTTTGTAATAAAGATATGAATAATGTCTCTTATTTGTGAACAAGATAAGATCATCTCTTGTTTCTGAACAAAGGCAGATGTGATGAAAATGTGATCATCACGCACGCCTAATTAATGAATGAATACTCGAGAAAGATCACAATGCAGCTTTGTTACGAACTTACCTAAATTTACCCCACAAATTTGGTGGAGACACATTTTACTGCCGGTAGATAAATGGATTCAAAAGACAGTACATGAGAGGGAATTGTGATCCCTGTCATACACTGACTAGTGTCGAGGATGCTTGTTGCCCTTTTTCCCTCCAAAAAATGAGAATTAATTGCAACGTCAAAAGAAAATATGGCGAAACCAACTGAGCAGAAGAAGAAATTTTCATGCCCTAGCCTCATCCAGCATGCTTTATACAAAACGCAGAACGGAGGACCGTTGAGGCTTCGTTATTCATTACATCGTTATTCATTATTCATTATTTTGTAAACAATGATTCGATGATATAGTGACAGGCGGCTAATTCCGACGATCTTGTGCAACAAAATGAACGTGAATTGATGCTTTTTCTAATCATAACAACGACAACAAAATTAGATGAGGGGACGCAAGCGGCCTCAACTGTAAGTACTTTTTAGAAATGTTAAGATATTATTCTAGCATCCCTAACATTCCGAGCTGCGCGAGAGTGTCAAAATCCGTGCGGAGTATCGGTGGAATGTTAACCGAGAATGCACGATGAGCTATAGTCTTACAATTGACCTACCGTCAAGTAGCCTTTGGAGTCCTTTACCCATCCAATAACCATGTCGCTACCCACCATCTTGCCATTCCCTGACGAGATTCCAAAACCTACCCATCCTGTAGTTGCCGCCTCAACAGCAAAAGACACGGTTTCCTTATCCCAGTCGACCGTCCAGTACAGCTTCATTAACTCTTTCGGATCTAAAGCTGCATAGTGAGCGTACTCAGAAGAGAGAACAGCGGCTCTGGCTGAGACTAGAACTGATAAAACCACGAGCACTGAAAGATACATTTCTTTCAGGCATCCGAGCTTAATCATGATCAAACGGTTTGCAACTATATAACCAGCAACTCTATAATTAGCTATATAACCTTACTCAATGCAATCTATGAATAAAACAATACAAAAGGTCTAATTAATACTACATTGTTCTCGGATTTCAAGTATCCTTAGTTGAGTCACATGAGCACTTGATCATGTGATGCAACTACGGATACTTGAAATTCGCGTTCAACACAGTATTTGTAGCTATTTTAAGCATCTACAAATGCTAATAGAGATATCTTTTATTTTATACTGGCCAAAGAAATAATTCGCTCGAAGGAGGGCTACTTTACATAATTTTAATTCCTAGCAAAAAAAAATAATTCCACTATCCTCTCAGCAGGCTCAGAACAGGAGTGAAACGGAAACAAAATTCACACTGTATCGTGCAGTTTGAGTGACCTCTATAAGTGAACTTAGAAATATTGGATTTAAATAATTCTTTAGATGACCTAGGGCTACAAATGATTCGTTAATAGAATTTTACACGGTCAAGTACGTGATCTTCACCAGTTAAAGAGTCAGGCAATGTGGCTTAGCAGAGATTGGTATAAAATATAAATCAAAATCCAACAAACGGAGTGAAAATCACGTTAAAAAATGAAATCGCTGAGCACAAGTGTAAAGGTAATGTCTATAAACAAGGCTAATTATTAAGAAGAAAAAAAACAACAATCCTTCAAATATCATAACAATCTTTCACTGCATACGCAAACGTTTTGTTGACGTCAATACAAAACTGCTGACTCCAAATATAAATAATTTGACACTGATTTCGCGCAGTTGACATGACTGTGCTGACTTATTATCTTCCTCTTCTTCAGTCCGTCAGTCAATGATGGTGTCATTTTTTTTAACTGTGTGCCAGCTGCATGCCACTTGTAATCTGTCAATCTATTGCGTAACATCTGTTTCTTCGTAACCATTTAGGCAAAGAGGGGCTGATCGGACCGTCAGGGCCGGGACCAAAGCTGAAATTGCCATCAACACCAAGGAGAACATGTTGTCGCCTTAAGCTCGCTGTTGCTCTTTTGACAACTAAACCTGGAGGACGTCAGTGACCATTACGTAGATCGTTTCGTAACTAAGAGACAGATACACATGGGGATCACAAACTCATTGTGATTGGGCACACACCTTACCCCACGACCTCCAGAACTGCCCTTCTTAATTAGAAACTAAGATCGAACCAACGCTGACGGCCATCCCTCCACAACGACCACCTCTTCACACCGAACATTTCTGTTTTACCCTGGTGGACAGTTCACTTAGGCCTTTTTCCCTCTCCACGACGATTGACAAAGTAAAATACGTGACAAATCAATCGGGCACACAATATTTGACAGTGTTATACAGAGGCGTAATAAATGTTTGTATAACTAAAAACAGCTCACAAGGCTAGTAGTTGTAAGTAGTGTTCAGTAGTGTTCTTAGCTGCCGCTAAATATGTGAATTTTCATATATCTAAAATCTTGTATCTAATCATTCTGTATCACTCGTTTCGTTTTGTTATCAATCTGAACATGAGCTTTTGGTTTCCTAAGAACTGCCATGCTTTGACTCAGTTACCTCTTTTTATTTGTACGTAACTTGGCGTTGTTGTTGATGTTGCTTTGTTTAGTTGTTTTGTTTTGTTCTTTTTTTTTTTTAAGAAGAATGCTCTGCCCTTCGGAAAAATCAGAAGTCACACTGCTCGTACTTTAAATAACCGCCACCTCACCACAAAGTTTTTGTTCCTTTGTTCCAAAGTTAGACTTCGTAGAGACTACCGGGTTACATAATAGGTTACTACTACCGGGTTACATAATAGGTTACAGAAACAGGGAGATAAAGTTATTCCCTAAAGAAAACGCTAAAGCCGACTACATCAGCACACTTATTCCTTCGATCTTCAACAGAATAACGCGCTCATTTCGGATTAGAAATGGCAATAACGTGCTTAGGATGGAATCCGGCAATCGCAAAGGAGACTCCGCAAGAGGAACAGTAATGAAGGTGAATGTGAAGATAAACTTCTCTGGTTACCTGGTAGTAAGTTCCCTTGATCAAGCCAGAACTTTAAACGGAGGATCAGATAGATTGAATCCCCAATACCATCTTAATTAATCGTGCCTAACGACTTAAATATCCCGCGTTTATAGCTGGAATAAAAAGCAGCTAATGCCCCAGTTTGTTGATGCTAACTTTTACAGAGAAGCATGAAATAGCGATAATTTGTTGGTTGTCAGGGGGGAGCATAATCTGTGGTTGGTTTAGTGCAACCTTCTTGTATGGAAGAGATTTCCGAGGGTGAAACTACGACGGGAAGGGTGTAATCTTGTTTAAAGCTCGTTAGAACACTGCTTCCAATTTATTGTCTGTTAATTGGTGCAGTACATCGTATATAGGCTTTAGGATTAACAATCTATGCGTCATCTTCGTCATGCAGAAGTCATCGGTTCTTGAACTAATCTGTGTGTCACACTAACACCTCTTGTACTTTCTAACTACTTTTGTTAACCTAATGCCGGATCAGAAGTGAAATTATCCAAACAGTGCTATTATTTATCATCATTAATTTTCACACACTGTTTCACCATTTATCTCTAATGTTACAAGTTGATCTAAAAACGAGGAGACCGTCAAAATTGATTCATCTAATCATATTTAAAAAAAACAGATAGTCTTCCCGATAGATCTCCGTCCTTCAGATTTATCGCAACACAATAAAAGGGAATCATGAACACAGGTGCAAAGTCATCAGAACTACCAAACTGTTTATTAATTTGCTATATGTTTATCTTAAAATACGGTTTCTTTTATCATGCATAAAAAAAGAAAAAAGCTCCTCCTCAAATCTTACAGCAACATCAAATACACCATCAGCAAAGAAAGAAACAAAGAACGCGAGGCAGTCACCACGGCAGAGGCAGCAGCTGGTTGATCACACTTTGACTCTTTTGGTGGTAGAGAACGGGTTATCTTTGGCACTGACAACCTGTTGCCAGGTATTTTTCCCTGTCAAATACGAAATTAAATCGATTAGCATATAGATAAACGACTCGAAAAATCCGAAAATCATGCGACACTTTTCTGTTGAAAAAACGTACTTTGTAATTATCAAAACGGAAAAAAACATCAGTGTCGGTTTCAGGCTGTCTTTCTTAACTCCACTTTTTTACCTTTTTGATGATATACCAAAATTTAAGGAAATGATTTATGACATACCCGAGTAGCAGGGTTTACTTACCCAAAGACAAGGTACAAGAAATGTTTCAGCTTCGTTGTATCTCCTCTGCAAGTCTGTCGCCATTTCTTTCGTCCAAGTAACATTCGCACCAACAAGAGGATTAGACCACTCAGACGTCACGTTGAGGGATGCGCTGCCATCAGAAATAAGCAAATAGTGATCGAATAAATGAACAGTCGCTAAAAGAAATATTCATCCAAAATTTCCAGGCGCCATCCTTATAACTTCAATTCCGAGGAAAGTCCGCTGCCGGTTAGGAATATCAACAGTACTTACATGTTACTTCTGATGAAGTCTTGTACTGGGTCTCTTTGAAGACTGACGCAGTTTAACGTGGCATTCGACTCTTTTGGATAGTAAAATAAGAAGTTTAGGCACATCTCTTGAGAGGTTGCTATTCCACCCTAAATATATGAAGCATAAAACGAAATAATTAAAATAATGAAAAAAGTAACAACAGATCTTTCGCAACGTGGAAACTCCAAGTTTATAGCGCAATGATTGATAGTCAATATATGATACCCAACTGAGGAGCTTCAATCCCGTAACTTTCCTTGAAGACCAAAAGAGGTACAAGCTTACTAAAGGTACTACATTTATGGGATTCCCTGTATAACAAAGTACAACAACTTCAAAACAAATCATAAATAATCCTCAGGCAGGCAGATGAAGATATAGGGCTTTCCAAGGTTGTGATTAAAGTAAGCGCCAAGTAAGTTTCCGATAAACTACTGCCGAAAAACTGTTGACGTGCTTCTGAGCGAGTCAACTACTAGAGAGCTACATCATACGTTTTTTTATAAATATACCATCATAATGTGTATGATAATGCATTTTCCCTTGCTGTCAACTTACCATTACGAGCTTATCGCGGTCCATAGTTTGATATTTGCAATAATGAATCAAATCGTCTCCCTAAAAGACAAAAAAAAGTCAATATATTTGGCAATGTTTGATTTTCATGTCTTAATGTCGATAAGGCATTTAAAGTTGAGCAAATGTATTTAACATTTGTTAATCCTTTTCTTTGCATCAGAAGATTTTCAACTATTCTTAAAAGTAAAATGTGTTAAGTGGCTCTCACCGGTTTTACGTGAACCTCCTTCCTTAAAATTTGTATATCCTGCGAAAGGAAAGTTAACTTTTCTTTATGATAATTAGATCAAGTAACCGATCGATTTTTTAACTGATTGAAGGGATAAAAACGAATGAAGGAATATTTCTTTAAAAGTGACTACATGCATAGTTAGTAGAGGAGACTGGTTATGAAAGCCGGCGAGCTTCAAAGACCGATGTCTTTGTTTTGATTTTTGCCTTGTCACGTGATCGCGACAGTGCACATTTATCAAACGATCATGGCGTCCGTCGAGTAGTTTCTTGTTAGTTGTGCGATATGTGTTAGGTTTCTCCGTAATTTTCATCAGTACATGGTTGTCATTTTGCAAGAAATATAAAAGTTATGCCAGGGGCTAATTGCTCAGTATTTGGCTGTGGTTCGTGCAGAAGAACGAAGGGAATTGGTATTTGGAAGTTGCCTGTGGCAAAAGACGAAGCTCATGGAACATGGCGAGACGAATGGCTTGGTGAGATAAAAAAGACAAGAGAAATGGATCAGAACTTCAGGGAACAGTTGAAGAGCGATAGAATATATACCTGTGAGAAACATTTTGCGCCCGAAGATATCGAAATATGTAAGTACATATCTATATTTTCTTGTTAAATTTTCGGATTTGCTTCGAGTTAGTTTTCACCGATCAGTGTTGCTGCTGTTTGAAGTTCGTTCTGAAAGTGGATATGGTTTTAGGTTTGACTATTTCCAAGTTTGACAATTTTATCTTTTCTTTGATAGATCAATCTGCGAAAATGACCAAAAAGAAGCCCAAATTTGGAGCTTTGCCGAAGCTGAACATGCCTAAGAAAAGCCATGAAAGCAGCAAGCCTTCACCACGTCCTGAACGTTCGGTTGTAAAATGTAACGAGGGGCCTTTACCACACAGCTGCTACAAGGGATTTTCAGAGCTCTGCCAACGAGTTAAAAGCCTAAAAAGCCTTGGTGATTGGAGCCTGGAGATCTTTGAGGACAAAATTGTGCTGAAGAAAACCGTGCATCCGTACGTTCTGCCACGTTTGGAAATTATTATGGATGACAGTCTTGGCTTTACTGTGAAAGTATTTGGTTCCTATTTACCTGAAGATCATCCTTTGTACCTGGACTATCGTAGAACAGTTCGAAATATTACTGTATCTAACTTAATAAGGCAACTGGAGGGATACAGGTTGTGTGATGGAGTCTCTATAATGGAACTTAATGGGAAATTGTATCATCATGTTATACCATTGAGTCATGACACATTTGGAGAAGAAGAGGAGCAGCAGTTCCCACTATGCTACATGTGATACTATCATAGGGGTGAACATTCCATATAATTATACAACCAACAGTGCATGCTTCTGCTCTTGCATTCGACGAAATTTTAAACTTCCTCTCCTATTGTCAAAATTTCCGTTTCTTTTTCTGAGAATGTTTTCAAGAATAACTATGTAGGCCCACTTATGCCCGTCGCTAGCAGTTTATAAGTTCATCACAGAATCGATTATACGTATATGAATAACAAAGCAAACTTAAAGTGGAGATAAAGAAGCGTTAACTAATTCATTTACCTGAAAATTAAAATCATAATTGTCATCACGGACAATTTCAGGTAATTCAACTCCGTTGCGGACATGTTTCGTCCATGTTGCACGCCCTGATGGAAAAGTATAGCAGTATGACTTTTATGAATCTGCACTCAATAAAAAAATCAATGGACTGATTAGACATTATCAACTGCACAGCATGTTGTCTGAGACAACAATGAGTTCTTTCTAGCTCGTATGTATTATGTATTTGGAAATAGGAAGAATATGAAATAGTTTAAGTAGACATCAATAATGGACTAACCCTGTAGATGAGTGTGAAGGAAAGAAGCAAAGACCTTTATCCCTTTTTCTGGAAGTGTTGTCGATTCCAACGTTTTCTGAAAAAGGGTGGAAGTAGATCAAGGTGGGAACACATTTATGCATTACATTTCCAGGTGTTTGAGCAAAATTTCTTTCGATAAGAAATGCCGGCACACAAACAGTTCCCAAATCTCAAAGAGCAAAATATCTGCGACAAAGTTACCTGATAACACTCTTTGGGGCAATATCCTTTAGTTAACCAGGATTCTTGTTGTGGCGGGATTACCATATACGAGGTAACTGCTTCTCCGACTGTCATTGTACCAGCATCGTAGTCACGGAGGTGGGGAGTGTAGTAAAAACGAACTCCCGAATTGTCTTTTCGTCCTTTAAAACAAAGTAACGATTGAGATGTGAGAACACAGCCCAAGAGACTTTTTTGAAGCTCAATAACAGCAAAAGAGCTGTTTTAAAGCAGCTTAATATCAACAGCAGGGACAGATTCACTGACCTTCAATATTCTCTGGATTGTCATAGTGTAGTTCTAGATAATAATTATTTGGTGAATCTTCCGTTCCAATCGGGTAACCAGTGTGCGTTGGATAGTAAAATGCCTAGGCGTTAACAAAATAAATAGTAAATGAGATCACTAATTCTGCCGTGGTGGGTTTTTAAGGTAAATACAAATAGTTTTGATTTACATTCCAATTTTAATAAAATTATTAACTTCATCTAGAGTATCATCAACCAAAACTCCTTACCTCGCCTCCAACTCCCCACGCCGCTACAACAATTTGAGAGCCGTAACACTCTCTTAGTGGCATATTTGGATCCTCACAATCATACCCAGAGCCATAATGGCTGTCATTATAGTTCCCTGGACATGCGTAGACCACAAGATGATGCACGATGCCTTCGTTTCCCTTTTTTACTACTGGCTCAAACTGAAAAATGATGAAAGTTATGGTGGTCAGACTTATCTTAGGGGAAGTTTAAAACGTCCTGTGAGAGAAATTTCAGTACAAGCTAGAGGGGCTACATCGGGTAACAGAAAAATGTGCGTAACAAACAAAATGTTTAATTTATAGTTGACCATTATCAATATGTATGAAAAACGACGAAACGATTTTGTGAAAATGAAGCTAAAGGTCAACTCTGGATGAGAAAGACGTGTAGGGCGACAAAGCCCACAAGTGCCAAATGGAGGGTTTTATCGTTGAATCGTCTTAAGTTTGGTCCAAATGAATAACTAGCTGAGCCATGGGTGACTTGATCAGCATAAAATTAAACTGAATAGTGACAATAACAAGTTAAAGACGATGGAAAAGACACTGAAAACAATTGACCAGTAATAAAGTACATCAGTGTAATGACAAACCTTTGTTATGTGGTGTTTGCCTCTGATTTCCGGGATCTTGACGAGAGAACACCAGTATGTTGTGTGCTTTTTGGGAATTGTAACCTGTAATATGATGTTATCAAGGATTTAATTTTTTAACTGTGATTTGGGACAGAAATAAGTTTTCGTGAAGAAAAGATTAGCTTCTTGTAATAATAATCAAAAGCATGTACCCACATTATAACTGAAAACGTCGAATTGCTTCCATCCTTTCTCATCCACAGTTTTCTTGTCCAATTTATTAAGGAGAAGGATACTCCTTGAACCCCTAAAGGTATGTTTCTTGATGTTATTCTCAGACTTTGGGTCTTCTGTGTGATAAGCAAAAACGACTTTTGTGGTACCTTGCTGAAAGAAACGTGAAGAACAAAAGCGCATTTAGTGGCAAGGATAAAAAGCACTAAAGTTTCCATCCTTTCATACTCAATTGGAGAAAAATAATTTTATAAAGTCAAACATATACAAAATGCGAGGAATATAAAATATTTAGCGGTTGGTTTTTATACTTCAATCTTCCTATCTTTAGGATCACAGGTGTCAAATTTTCTTTTAAACTTCAACACGGTTTTGCTGTCTGTTTCCTCCCAGCCAGTCAAATCGTAGTTTTTTTGCCAGTCCAAGGGCGGTAGACTCTCTGCATCAGCAAAACGATCCTGAAAAGAAGACAAAAGCGAAACTTTCATTTTATGTGTGATAGTAAAGGAACAAATGATTGCTTTCAAATCAGGGTATAAATAGTGAGGTTCATGAAGGGAACGTTACTGTAAATAGAGTTGTTATTTAGTTGGATACACATTACTTTAGAGTTACACATCGATGTAAATTTCCCAAACCCCTCGGTTTATCATCCGCACGCTTTTCCAAAGGTTGCCCGGGCAAATCATTCACTTACAGCAGCTCCGTCATAGGCTCGTACATCTGTGGACAGTCAATGGACTGCTCTCTAAGGATGTGATAGGTGGCGCCAAAATGCTACATCTCGAACTTTACTTGCCGCGAACCCATTCAGTGAGAGCCTCAAACAGTTCAGTCATTTCGTGCCCAGCTAGGTCGATTCGGACAGTTTCCTTCATACCCATGTACTAATAAGGCACGTGTCCATGTAAAGTATGTCTAAAGTAAGTTCGGTTTTTTATTTTAAATAGCAATATGACGTGAGATAGCTACGAGCACTGCAGTTTACAAAACATTGCTATATATTTACTCGTTGGCACATGGCCGGGATGAATGAGTTTTTGAAACGGTTGGTGTGAAATCGTGGCAGATTGAAAGTTCTTTTGCTTCTCAAGTTATATGAACCTTGATGACGTGGGGGAAGTTAGTGGGCGAGACTGTGATCGCTCGAATTGGCGATGCCACTGAATAGCTTTTAGCAGTGATCATCGCGTCTTTGGCGTAGAGTAAAGAGTCCATAGCTCTCTAGGGATTGTTTAGACGATTGATAAGGCGCGATTATTGACATGGTTCTTTTCTGGACGCACTCGAGGTGTTTACTAAGGTATTCAGGAAGGCTATGGTGGAAAATAGGTGTACGGTATTCTAATAATGATCTCATAACTGCACAATAGAATTGCATAATGTCCTGATGGCTAACACCAGCCCTCTAAAGGAGCACTAAGAAATGCAAGCGCTTATTTGCTTTTCTTATCGACTCATATACATGCCCGTTCCATTTCAAATCTTTCGATATCGTAACTCCTAATATCTTAGCACATTGCTCCTTAGAAAGTTCCTTCCCACCGACTACTACAGGATCGAATGATTGCTTGTTCTTCTTAAAATAAATAGTCGATTCCTTGCATTTATCCGCACTGAGTTGCATATTCTGCTCATGAGATCAGTCCTAGACGGCGTCGACGGCGCTCTGGATGTTACTTCGGCCTCCCTTAGGCGCGATTTCGGCTATGGTGGTGTCGTCCACATACTTCCACGTACGTTACTAACTCTCAAGTCATTTATCATTAAGATGAAAAGCCAGGGGCCCAGTTTTGTGCCTTGCGGCACACCAGCGGCACACCTGCGACAAACAACTTATTTTCTTGGTATACGTCATTCCGTTTTCCGCATTCCTTCTTGTGCCATTCAGACAAATATAACATCATAATTAACATGATGAACCGTCTAAAATCTCTCTTGAAAGCGTTTACCGCAGTGAAACAAACCTGTTACGAACTGAACGAAACTAATTATAGCAAATTCTCTTATTCATCCATCGACCTTAATCATAGAAACAGTTTTTTTCCAGTTTTATGAGGTAATTAACGAATCTTTTCAAATGAGGGGTCTATTTTTGTAATAAAGATATGAATAATGTCTCTTATTTGTGAACAAGATGAGATCATCTCTTGTTTCTGAACAAAGGCTGATGTGATGAAAATGTGATCATCACGCACGCCTAATTAATGAATGAATACCCGAGAAAAATCACCATACAGCTTTGTTACGAACTCGCATCATTATTCAATCTTTATAACAAATTTCCCCCACAAATTTGGTGGAGACACATTTTACTGCCGGTAGATAAATGGATTCAAAAGACAGTACATGAGAGGGAATTGTGATCATGTCCTGACTAGTGTCAAGGATGCTTGTTGCCCTCTTTCCCTCCAAAAAATGAGAATTAATTGCAACGTCACAAGAAAATATGGCGAAACCAACTGAGCAGAAGAAGAAATTTTCTGCTCTAGCCTCATCCAGCATGCTTTATTCAAAACGCAGAACGGAGGACCGTCGAGGCTTCGTTATTCATTACATAGTTATTCATTATTCATTATTTTGTAAACAATGATTAGATGATATAGTGACAGGCGGCTAATTCCGACGATCTTGTGCAACAAAGTGAACGTGAATTGATGCTTTTTCTAATCATAACAACGACAACAAAATTAGATGAGGGGACGCAAGCGGCCTCAACTGTAAGTACTTTTTAGAAATGTTAAGATATTATCCTAGCATCCCTAACATTCCGAGCAGCGCGAGAGTGTCAAAATCCGTGCGGAGTATCTGTAGAATGTCAACGGAGAATGCACGATGAGCAATAGTCTTACAATTGACCTACCGTCAAGTAGCCTTTGGAGTCCTTTACCCATCCAATAACCATGTCGCTACCCACCATCTTGCCATTCCCTGACGAGATTCCAAAACCTACCCATCCTGTAGTTGCCGCCTCAACAGCAAAAGACACGGTTTCCTTATCCCAGTCGACCGTCCAGTACAGCTTCATTAACTCTTTCGGATCCAAAGCTGCATAGTGAGCGTACTCAGAAGAGAGAACAGCGGCTCTGGCTGAGACTAGAACTGATAAAACCACGAGCACTGAAAGATACATTTCTTTCAGGCATCCGAGCTTAATCATGACCAAACGGTTTGCAACCATATAACCAGCAACTCTATAATTAGCTATATAACCTTACTCAATGCAATCTATGAATAGAACAATACAAATGCTAATTAATACTACATTGTTCTCGGATTTCAAGTATCCGTAGTTGAATCACATGAGCACTGAATCACATGATCATGTGATGCAACTACGGATACTTGAAATTCGCGTTCAACACAGTATTTGTTGCTATTTTAAGCATCTACAGATGCTAATAGAGATATCCATTATTTTATACTGGCCAAAGAAATAATTCGCTCGAAGGGCTACTTTACATAATTTTAATTCCTAGCAAAAAAATAAAATTCCACTATCCTCTCAGCAGGCTCAGAACAGGAGTGAAACGAAAACAAAATTCACACTGTGTCGTGCAGTTTGAGTGACCTCTATAAGTGAACTTAGAAATATTAGATTTAAATAATTCTTTAGATGATCTAGGGCTACAAATGATTCGTTAATAGAATTTTACACGGTCAAGTATGTGATCTTCACCGGTTAAAGAGTCAGGCAATGTGGCTTAGCAGAGATTGGTATAAAATATAAATCAAAATCCAACAAACGGAGTGAAAATCACGTTAAAAAATGAAATCGCTGAGCACAGGTGTAAAGGTAATGTCTATAAACAAGGCTAATTATTAAGAAGAAAAAAAACAACAATCCTTCAAATATCATAACAATCTTTCACTGCATACGCAAACGTTTTGTTGACGTCAATACAAAACTGCTGACTCAAAATATATATAATTTGACACTGATTTCGCGCAGTTGACATGACTGTGCTGACTTATTATCTTCCTCTTCTTCAGTCCGTCAGTCAATGATGGTGTCATTTTTTTTAACTGTGTGCCAGCTGCATGCCACTTGTAATCTGTCAATCTATTGCGTAACATCTGTTTCTTCGTAACCATTTAGGCAAAGAGGGGCTGATCGGACCGTCACTCTATTTGCCATTCGTTTGCAGTGTTATCAGGGAAGGTTGCAAAATGTTTAGCGACTGGATTTTCCCAAAAAGTTCATTGTGTTTGAAGTCAAAACATCGACAAAACAGCGGTTGTAAAAGTGACCGCGCGCTACAGGTCATAAAGTTTAAAGACCGATTTCCCTAAAACATGCTTAAAATAAAAAACGAAAACTTATTTCGTCAATTTTTGCTCACATTCTACACATAACATATGGGACATTAAAATTTGGTGTTGCCTTTATTTATTATTGAGTTAATTCATTCTGTGTAATCCTACGGTATCGAGAACACGCCTTCATGAGATCACGGCTATCATTGTGCAGATACTAATTATTTACATATCTATTGATGCATTTAGTCAGTTATTTGTGTAGATTCTCTCGCATTTAGAGGAATGAGAGAGAAACCTTGTTTGAACCACGGCTGAATAAATACTTTTTTGTCTTTCATGTACCAAACCTAAGTTCGAAATCATGGCAGTATTTTTTATGAGCTTATTGATTGCATGACGGAAGTTCTTATGGTTTTCTTATCAAGGTATTCATTCTTTTATTTACATATCCATTTATGCATTTAGTCAGTTATTCATTTACATTGTCTCGCATTAAGAGGAATAGGAGAGAAACCTTGTTTGAACCACAGCTGAATAAACGCTTTTTTGTCTTTCATGTACCAAACTTAAGTTCATGGCAGTATTATCAATGAGCATATTGACTGTGTGAAGGAAGTTCTTATGGTTTCCTTATCGATATTGCAACGCACCATAAATAGGATCGTCAAAAGGGGCATGTGAATCACGAGACACGAAAGGAAACTTTCTGTTCTGTAGCAAGAGCTAGTACCGTGCTAATGACAGTAAGTATAAACAAGGGCCTCCATTTGGCGCAATATCTGATCATGAGGGTCTCAATAGGGTTAACCGTTCACCGTGAAACGGCGAACAAATTTATCTGTTAATTAGCAACTTTTAACCGTTTGTCGTAAAAAATGTCAACAGTTAAAAGTTTTTGTTTTAATTTCAACGGAAAGGAACTAACCGTTAGTCATAAAAAAGCCAAAATTTTAACCGTTAGCCGTTTTGACCCTCATATCGGTCCGCGGACATTACTAGTGCCGAGAAGCGAACATTCTCCGTTAATTAGCAAAGCTCAAAGGAAACTGTAGGCTTTGAGGAAAAATAATGTCCTGGGACAAATGCAAGGGCTACTCGCTCCAAATGGAAGCTACTGAGTTGGCTATCCTTCAAACATTTTCTCGCAGCGTGCGAAACGAAACGCTTCCAAAAAGCCTGGCGTCGACAAATAGACTTGAATGCTGTAATTTGAACCGAGACTTCTATTTTCTTCTGTATGTAACAAAATTAAAACACTCCCCTAAATTGAATCATTTCAAAGAAGCCCTTCATTGCATTTGTTGCAAGATTTAAAAAGTGGGAAATACAGGATGCTTTCTAGTTTTAACTGAAAATTATCTGTAGAGTTGTCGCGTTCAGACCGATCGCACGGTAGCAAAACGTTTGAAGGATGTTTATGACGCCTCGTAGTTATCAAACCGCTGGTTCGCCCATTCTCAATCGGTTTTTCTTTTTTCTTCTTTTAGTTTTTTCATTTTGTTTTCTTGCCCCTAACTTTTGTTAAATATGTCACTACGATGACATCATGATGTAAATATACATTTAAAAAAACCTTTGCCCAATATACGCTTGATTGGTTACTTTTCAAGCCCTCTGGTAACAGAAGCACCCATAACACTCTTTTATGTCTCCTCTGACCAAAGGTATGGAACAGTTAAAGTAAATTCGACTTTTTAAATCCGTTTTTTACACTGGTGCATGGTGGAGGGGAACGAGACTCGTCCTATGTGAGCAACTAAAACGCACACCCAAATCACGCACGCAACAAAATAAGTCTGGCAAAGAGTAATGAGCCCCAACGAAAAAAAAATGATATCATTGAAAATGAACTCCATTCACGATAGCCGAAAACAAATTAAAATCCCATGAAAGATTAAATGGGAACTGAAAGATGAGCCAGGGGCTACGCAATGCATTTTGGGCGTAAATGAGTCTCCGAGCATGCGCCTCTTACAGGACGAAGTTAAAAAAAAAAAAACCAGTTTCCAACCGCTGCATCGCTAATAACTACAAATTTGTATCCCAGATATCATTGCGACACCACAGCTCTTCCAGAAGGCCTCGAAGTTGCAAAGCTTTTGGTCGAACATCCGGGTCTTGTTCAAAGCACAATTGTATCATTTCTCGAAGCTACAATAGGAAAAGAAAAAAGAAAAGTGAGAAAGAAACTTGAAAAAGAGAAGTGTATTTTGTTTTCTTACCCACAGACCGTCAAACTTAATGATAGGCTCATCATCCCTCCTAGGTCCCATAATTATATATCGTGAAGAAGGAAGTTAACCCCTTAATGAGTGACTAACATCTAATTTCTCCTTACAACGTCACCCCTGAATCGAACAGTAAGGTCATGAGAATAAAGGAGATGGTCACTAACTAAAGAAACTCTTGATTGTTGAACAAATTCTCCTTGTCAGAACCCTTGGAAATGTCTTTGGAGTAGTATGGAGAATATGCATACTGATGTTAGGGAAGGTTAAAGCTTCACCTTTTTTTTTTTTGTAGCATAGGGCGTGTCATGTGAGATATGTAGAATTGTTATGGTATTCGGAAACAATGTTAGGTGCTTATTTTTTAAAGTGTAATTGAGCTATGAAAAAATGTTTCATACTTCTAAAAATTCTCAATAGTTAAGTGATATTTATCTCTTCCTTGTTGCCATTTGTGGTAAACTTTACCGTTCATAAAGCTTAAAAGCAATGCTTCGAGTTGATAAATGCAATTGAGACTATTGTAAACCTGTGGATCACGAAGGAAAATCCATGCGAATTTTGTGTGACACACATAAAGAGTATGTCGTTGGTTAAGTATACCTTGCCGGATAATCAACGACACACTCGTAGCTACAAAGAACTGTTCAGCCCGAAATAAAAAATACCTTGAATTTTTTACAGCAATAAGTTTGAATGTTCAACCTACTTGTGCCACCTCTTCATCTTCGTTGCAGCTCTTAATCAAATCGTTCAACAAGAAACCAAATTGAAGGATGTTTTTCCCTAATATGTCCTTCCTTTCATGCTCAGTTTTTGTAGATTCAGGAAAGTCTCGAGATATCAACTGGGCCGAACCAAATCCTCCAAGAATAGCAGCTATCGGGGGCATCTGCGTGAAAATTATCGAACTTGCGGATTACATTCATTGATTATGGAATATTCTGGTGTTAAATCTCGCGGTGGTGAAAGTTACTAAACCCTTAAAACTATTAAAAACGGAAACTGACTGAACTTGGAAAAAAAATTGACCAGTTAGGCTGAACGACTTGTTGTAGTTCTCTTTCAAGTGCAGGAAAGGGAATCTTCCACTTTACTCGCCAGGTTACCCTTTTAATTGAGACAACTAGAACCAATGGCAGTCACTACCGACCATACAAGCGTTAGTGAACATTATTTACCTGGATAGAGCTCGTAAAGATAAATACAGACAGTTGGATTGGGTGTGATTCTTTTAGTTGACTGACACGTGTGGTCTGTTTCCTTAATGATATTTGTAATTATACCTCTTATCGCCCTTATATTGACGCATGAAAGGACATTTCATTATCCGGGTTAAATTCGTTGCTTACCATGCATGCAGCTGTGATGTGATAAACCCTGGTGTTTCGATCAGCCAATCAGAGAGTGCGTAACATCGAAAATTCATCACATGAATCGTAGTTAGTTCATAATCTATCTTACCCTTAGTCCTCTTCCTATCAGCACGTGGGAAGTTGTTATTTCGTTATGAATAACACCCTTTCGTTCCAAGTATTCGATGGCATAAATTAAATCAATGGCCACAACTAAGACTAGGTCCAGGTTTAGAGTAACTCGGTTGTCATTCAAGAACTCAGCCAATGTCTTACTCGAAGTAAAGTCATAGCAAAGCAAACTGTGATTGAGATCAATAACATAGATAAGTATTAGGAATATTATACCTGCATTGACTGAAGGAGCTCTTAACTCAGTGACAGTGTCCTGAAGATAAGATTTTCTTTCACATTTTGGATTGATACCGAAATTTCAGCGATAATTCGTAGAGAATATACTTTGCAAGGTTTACTTTTACCTTTAAATTTTCCACATTTGAAATCTTATGTTAACAAAATAGAGTAGCCATTCTGGGGAAGAAAAAAGAATGAATTGCTACCGTAGGGACATTTCTCATAAAAAAAAAAGCTGGGAGATAAATACGGGTTCGTTCACTCTTTAAATAGCTTACAAACAACTTTTCTTTAATCGAAGAAATTTTCCTCGCTTGTGATGTAGCTTGCATTGTTCAGCTAAAAGAAAAAAGATTCGGAAAATTCTGAAATCAGTAACCAGTTATGTATTGTCAAAATTCACTTGGTAAGAAATAATCAATTAGAAGAAAAATCATTTTAAAGCCTTGGTGATCCTATGTAACTGCGAAGGACGATCATTGCAATCAAGTGTTTCTCTTTAAAAATTGTCAAATGTCTCACTGCATGGGAAGACAACCTCATCATAATGTGAATAGCGTTGGCCTTAAACATGCGTAGCCATATGTAACCTATTTTCAGCCTATTTGTCCTGCATAACATCTAAACTAGATATAACGGAAACCGCCTTATATCGGAAAAATAGCGCTTGTCTTCCTACTTCGAGCTTTCCAGCAATATTTAATGATGTTTGGATGCCCTTCGCCATCTCCATTGAGTTCCTTGGCTATTTCTGTCTCCTTTTTCCAAGATTCCTCCTTAGCTTTTGAAAAATACTTAACCAAACGCAAAGAAACGTCTTTTTTCTTTCCAGACCACGCCACAACAAAACCCTGAAAGAATTGATAAAAAGTAGAACTGCAGTGTATCATGATCACGTTTCTGGATGAATAGCGGATAGATATTCATTTACATGACTTCCTTGTAATTATTTTTATCTATAAAAGGTTGAGTCCGTGCAAAATTTCTTTTTACTGTTTTTGAGTCGAGCGGATTTCTCCTGAGGTGGATGAGAGGAGGCTTTGTGCTTCATTGGTTTCAGTGGCGGATCTAGGGGGGGGGTCCGGGGGGCCCGTTTTGAACGAGCATTAGCAATCATGACATCGATTTAAATATATTTCCAATATCAATATGAATATATGTATTTCTAAAACAATAATCGATAATGATCATCCCTTCCGAAAACATTGGTATTTCAATGGAGATGAGTTTAAGATACATTTATGACCAAAAACGGACAATTCTTATCAGCCATACCACCGAATGTGAAGTCTCATCCGAAAAGACACTTGGTGTTTCAATCAGGTTTAAATCGGTTTCAGGTTCCTCGCATTCTGGTATCTCTTCCAATGGACGAGAGGAGATGCTTGGAATTGGGGAGAGGCTGAAGGTTGACAAAGTCGTTTTTTGTGACTCACTTGGGAAGATCGTGTTTCCACGAACTAATGAGCTGAGTGAAGTACCTCGTGACCCTAACGGAAGGTTTTGTCTCATGTTAGAATTTTGATAACTGAACTCATCTGCCTAGTTATTCTATGGACTAAAATATTGGGTATTTTTATGCTGAACTTTTCTTTTTGTTGTTACACTTTACATAAGAGATAAGTTGGATTATATTGTTTACATTGCAGATTTAACGTATTCTGGCTATTTAACTGCAGCAGTACGTGCCGCATTATTTAAGAAAAGTGTAACCTTTTATCCAGTTACAACAAACAGTATAACTCTCCCTCTCCTATAATTGACGACACTGACCAATCAGAAGACAAAAACGCCACGTGTGTTTAATAGACAGCCGGATACCTTAACTAATTTCTAACATGTATCTAATGTGTATGAAAAAAAGCATTGATAAAATGAGATTTACCTGGAGATCCTTCCCACTGATGTGAACTTCTTTGAAAATAACTTCTCAACCTGTCCTTCTGCTCTGTAACCTTCCTCTTCACCGAAGGAGTGGAAAATGTGTATAGTATAGGGTTTATGGACGAGTTTACAGGGAGGACAAACACGGCAATCCAAATGTAAGCTTGCTTTTCAGGATCATGAAATTTTCCGATCAGTGACAACATCCCAATGACAATTACAGGCATCCAACATAGGAAATCAGTCAGGATGATAAAAGCCATTCTTCTTGCCATTTGCGATTCTCTGCTAATGTGCGTTGACCTGATATTCTTAGCGACATTTCTGACAGAGAAAAACATGACTATATATGCAGTGAGGATGTAAACAAATGATGCAAAATTTAAGGCAATAAAGATCCCCACAGCATATTCCCACCCAGCTTGACGATCTGACGACAGTTGGAGAGGAAGACAAACTGCAGACTTTCCATAAAATCCTACGTATCGTTTATCGTCATAGAAATAATCCAACCCAAACATTGGAATCACAGATAACAGAGTTCCGAAGATCCAGATAACCGCCACAATAATATAAGCATTCCCACGATTCATGCGTCTCATTTTGAAAGGAAAAACAATACAGATTAGTCTATCAGTGGTAATGAGTGTTAACATGAGGACGGACACTTCACTTGATAACATAGACAGCACTCCAGTCAATGCACACGTTACTCCTGACCTCCAATTTATGTCATGCTTAAAGTATTCCCCTTGCCATTGTACGTCTTTTACAGCAATAATAAGCAGATAGATGCCCATAAGAAGATCTGAAATTGCAAGGTTCGTTAAAAGAAATGAGTGTATTTTGTTATCTTCCTTCACGATTACTCGCATTAAAATGACGAAGAGATTTCCAAGAAGAGCAGTCAGCCCCAAAATCCAAATGCACACTTGGATCGCTTTGTTTTTCATCAGATCAGAACAGCTAGAAAATTCATCTTTCGGCGAAATGCATCCGACAGCAGGGGCTGCTTTTTCAGCGTAACAACAAAGGATGAACTCGTCAAGGAAGCTGAAAAAAGAATGATAATAACACCCAGTCAACCGTTTGAGAGGCAATTTTTGAGTCGTTTGCATTTAGAATCAATAACAAAATTTTTCTCAGATAATCGAGATTACTTTTTTTTTCAGTTATTAGATTATAGTGCGTATGCTTTGACTTTTAGCCATAGTGTTATGTAGGTTTTAAAACGATTGTAACCAGACTCTTCCTAAGATTTAAAGTCTGAAAGAAACCTAGCCTGCATAACTAAAAAAATTCAGACCACGTAGCTCAGTTGCTACTGGTGCCAAACTATTATACGCAAATCACAAGTTTGAATTCCGTCGAAGCCTGAATTTTTTTCAGGCTTCGTTTCTGCGATTACTTTAATTGCAGCTCAAATGCGAAGATCATTTCTTTACTTTTATTTCATTTTCAGGTTAACATATGATTCACTTCATTCAATTGATTTATATTAGTCCAGCTAACAAGGACTCACATTTCCTTAAGACTGCGGAGTTCATCGAAGGCACCAGGTGAAAAGTCTCTCAAACTGATAGAATTGTTCCGTAAATCTCTGAAACAAAGATATATGTGTGTAACATAACATTGAAAAATGAATGAAATATTCAAAAGGACGGTAAGATGAAGATGCCTAATCTCCGTGCAAATTTACTATGAACCTGGATTTAAATGATGACTTCATCATTGTGATTTTAAAAATGTTTTATGTATGCCTTTTGAATTAAAATCCAAACATTCCCCTTCCAAATTCGGACAACGAAGTGATTCTTACAATTTCTCCAATGAGGTGAGCCCAGCAAATGTCTTGGAAGTCAGTCTTTTTATCTTGTTGTAACGAAGAGACCTGAGAAAAAAATAATCGGGTACACAATTGTTTTCACTTATAATAACTGTTGGTGCTAGATGCATACTTTCAGTAGTTTTATTTGTTAGATACCATTTATAATCGGAACAGCTAAATAGCTAAACTAACTTTGTGACAAATGCCATTTTTTACTTAATGTATGCTTATTTCTGAATAATAATAAAATTATTAATAGTTCATATAATAATGGTTACGATATTAATAATAATGCTAATTATAACAAACGAACAAAATAAAAAAACAGGAAAAGCAAAAGCATAAACAAGAAAATCAACAAAAGCAAATTTGCAGAGCAGCTCATTTCACTTACAGAACTTTGAGTCTTGTTAAGCCCAGGAATGTATTATCACTCAGCTCTTCCAGCAAATTGTTTTGAAGATACCTGCCAAGATATTGCCAGATCAAGATGGAGTTTTGAGAAAAAGTAAAAAATTTTAAAAAACCAAAACTCAAAACCAAATCAAATAAACAAAATAATAACCAAGTCATAAAAACATCTAAAAAGTTTACGGGAGAACTTACAAGTATTGTAGCTTCCGGGCTCCTTTAAAAGCATTCATATCAATATAATTTATCCGGTTTTCTCTGAAGCTCCTATGAAAAAAAAACATGAAAAATTTGTAGTCATCTTATTCAAGGTGCACTATTTTTGAGTCGTGTAATCGATGATATTCATTGCAACACTTCTCCTTTACAAATAACAACTTGACTGTAAATTGTTATAAATACACATTTCAAAATCCTGAGGGCAGTTCTAATTGAGGATGAGGGCCCTGAATATTAGCAAACAGACCCTTCGATTTAAAGCTTCACTGAATCTATATACTGTTTATGGCAATCCTGCCTTAAAAATCTACTTACAATGTAGTCAAAGCTGCCAGTGAAGCCAGTGTTGTTGATGATATTTCCTCTATCAAGTTTAAACTACAGTCCCTAGATTAGAACAACAAAGAAAGGACAAAGGCAGCGGATCAGTTTTATTTCATTTATCTGTTTGGTCACCTGTTTATTACTTTTACTAACCAAGTCACATCAGTGAATTATGATTTTTTTTTCACTTATCATACGTACAAAGTATGAAGATTTGACGCATTATGGAAAATTCCACCTGGTAAAGTCCTCATGAAATTTCCTTGAAGTTTCCTAGAAAATAATGATATGATTATTTTTTTAATATTCTTTAAAAACAAGAAGTAATTACTACAGCTTTCTAGCTTCGCAAATGTACATGTCAGAAAAGGAGCAATTTAAAGTATGATTTGGTCATGACCAGCCAAAAAAAAAAGTAATGTCCTCATTTGATTAAAGCCAAAGCAAAACCAGTGTAAGAACTTGCACGTATGTTTCTGCTGCTAGTAATACATACTTTTCACTTACCTACTTCGAGTCCCGTACTGTTGATTACGGACCGAGTTTTTTCAGCTCGGATTTAAATCCTAGCTGAAAAAAACGAGGTTCCATAACATACGGTACGAACCGAGGAAATGAGATAAGCAAGATATTTATGATTTCTCTGAGTTCAAATAGATGGGAAGATTTCGATTCAAACCATACACTTACAAAGAACGCAATGAAACAGCATGTTCAAACGCTCGTTTCTCGATTCTGAAGAGACGGTTTTGACTCAAGTCCCTGGAAGAAGCAACAAAAAACGGTACATATTTTGATTTCGTTTGTCTTAAATTATCACCATTTATAATATTTTGAACGGCTATTTAAACTTCACATCATCCAAGATAAGATCTTTTGATGAAGAGCGTCCTTCAGAGCCTCCTATGAAATGTTTTTCTTTAGCTGAAAGACAAACTAGGGATTCTGGTCAAACGTATATCTATTTTCGTGCTCTTCACTTTTCATCAAAGAAGTGATGAAATTTATTTGGCCCCGGCCCTGAATATCACCCGCATGTCAGTCAATATTTAGGTTACTTGTTGTACAGGAACACATCTATTTTTGCGACTCTAACTACCACTCTACAGACCTTTACAATAAAGTTCAGATATAATGCGCGCTGTCACTGGTTAAAAGAGCGTACTCTATCAGAGTACAAAGCATAGAGCTTAGCTAAAGCTGTCACGCCATCTGCCAAACTGTACTATGTTTGACCTTTTCCGGGACTTCTCTTTAGCTTTTTTCGTTAATTGAAAGTGAAATTTCGGAACAAGCGAGCCGGCAAGTAGCAACAGAAGAGCCAATCAAAGATTTTTAAACATGCCAAGAGCTATAGTTTACGTTATTATAACGCGAACAGAGACGAAAATCCTCAATGGGGAAAACGAAATGGGCAGTCCGAGATTTGAAGGTATTCACGCTCAGTTAGATTGTAAACTTTCGTATGGTAATAAAAATCAAACACAGCTAACGCTCGTATAGAATATAGTGTTAAAAAGCAAATCAGAGCAAAACAGGAATTATGAAAAATATAGCCAGACTGGCATAACTGTAAAAATTCATATTAATCATGCGGGTATCTGAGCGACTGCGATCATGCGGATCGCTCTGCAAAAAGTGTGTGGTGTTTCTCCTTACCCTTCTTTCGTGCTCTAGTCGCTTCACGCTTGCTTACTACAGTACAGACCACAGTTAAGGCCTCTTTATTTGTTAAATCATTTGGACTGGACAAAAATAAATAATCAAGTCGCATTTACAATATCAGCATTTACTTAGAGTATACTTACAAGTAAGTCAACATCAAGAGGCCAGAAAATTGATTCGTGCGTAGATACGAAATCCTATTGTTCTGGAACGATCTGCCATGAAAGAAGTGATATTTTAAAATCAAGTTACAAACAAACATTACCACAAGTATGCAGTCAAAACGCTTTGATCATCAAGGGAGGTGAAGACAAGGACAGAAAACAATATTGTTTTATCATCATTGTACTTCACCACAATAAATAACCAGTACTCTTATCACGATATCAATGGGTACTTATAAAATGTTAAGAAATTGAAAGGAAAAAAGGGTTTATCTCCAATCTTCTTCTATAAGCGCAAATAGATTTTCATACGTTAAAATAGCTCTAACATTTCCTTCATCTTAGATATCTAAAAGCTTCATTTTCATTTAAACTTTGTAAAGCACCAAACCGCTTACGAAGCGCTTCATATCTTACATTACAGCTGTATTAGAAGGCATATTTTCTGGTATGGCCTTCAACTCTCTTCCCTTTTTAACTGTGATCACCATATCATGACGCTTAGATGAGATGATATTACACTCACAGCTTGAAGGGCAACCTTGTGAGAGAAATAAAGCTGCTTTAGAAGAATAAGAAGACAGAAGACAGACTATTCAATCGCGAGTATAAAGTCAGTGCATAAAACACTTTAGATAAACTTGTCTGTCCTTTCAGTACAGCACCAGTAAATTTGGGAAGGATTGGGCGAGAGAACTCATTTACAGCAGGTCTCTCCGGGTAACATCACGACTAAAAGTGGGGTCCAAGTTTGACTGGATCGAGAAGACCTTAGAGCTCCAGTGGTTCAAATCAACACTTTAGATTCCATGTTACCTTCAAAACTGACGCAATTGGAATTCCCAAGGAGAGCTATGGGAGGAAAACAAACTACTGTTAAGTGTCATTCGACTCTATTTACTTTATTGAGCGCAATTTTGCTATGAGAACTTAACAACAAAAAACTATAACTATAACTATCGTTATTGTGAAAGTTATTCTTGTCGTAATCGTTATCCTCATCATTTCCATCCATCACAACATTCGCCAATCAGCCTGTCTCTCAAACCGTCAAACAGTGATTTATTTGTGTTAAGGGAAGGTCTTGTAAAGTGCGCTTGAACTTAGTAGTCCTTTACCTTCTTCTGATGTGTAGTGCATCTTGAAACCAGATCTTGTAACTTTGTCGTTGCTTACAAACTTAATTAACATAACATTCGTCGATGATTCAAGAAAGTCTGGAAATCGCAGGCCACAATATCTCCCGAGAAGTTTTTTTGTTTTAGTTTCGTATCCATCATAAACCTCAATGTAGTCACTATAACAAGATGGATGATCTTCTAACTGAAATTCCAAGAATCGTAGCTTTATATTTTTTCCCGGAGCAACCTTTATAGTCCAGCGACAGAGAGTTAGAGGCGGATAATAACCGGGGAAGTGTGGAGAGAAGATAAAGCCTGATGAATTGGTCATATTTCCATTGCACCCTAAAAGACAACAAGGAAAAAAATATGTTGACCATTTAAAGCAATTAAAGGTGGCGGTGCTAACCTCGAAGGGACTCACAACTTTTAATATGCCTTTAAACTAACACTGCATGAAATACAGAAATAACTACAACAAGAGAAGATATATTAGTCAACATGAAACATATATTAAATGGCTGGCACTTAGTGCTAGAGAAAACAAAAAAAACCAACAGAAAAAAAAGAAAAGTACAGCATCATGTGAACATGTACCTTGCGTTGCCCTAAGTGGGACTGGATGGCAATATCCAGGCTGTACTTGTAAACCCCTTACACCAACAAAACCAGGGTACCTGCCCAAATCTGCTTCAAAAGAAACCTGAAAATGTAACCATTCGCCATCTGAATAATATAAATTATGAAGGCAAAACTAAGAAGATGGCAGCTGCAGAGAACATTTTATGTACACATACTTATTTGAAGCACATTGTTGAGACAGCTGAATGTTTTGCTTAATCGGCAACGTGATCAGCACAATAAAATATGTTACATTAACTGAAAATTGAAAGTTGAAACTTCTTCAATGTTTTTCACAATTAGCTGTTGGCACCAAGAGAATATTACATCTCTTGGGGAACTAAAAGTACATATAGTCTCTTGTTGGCACTGAATCGTATTTTGTGGCACAAATCTGCTCTGGACAGCAGAAGCCATTATCGATTGATTTCCCTTATTAAACTTTATTGTTCAAAAGAATCTAAGAAAGACAGGAGCAAGACAATGATCACCCGGGGGCTGGAAGACAAGCGCGTACGCACTTATATCTCAACCTTTTTCACGCTAAAGAGAAGATAGACGAAATGTTTCTGATCAGTCTAGCGCCCAGCGCTATCCGATAATTTACTTCCATTGTAAACTCAACAAAAAATTAAGAGTTAAAGAAGGCATCGGTTATGATGTCGTTCTCATAACTTAGCTTACTCACTCTGTATTTAGTTATACTTGGCAGGGTTACTCTGCCATACTTCCATATTCCTTCCGTGTTGTTAGACTCGTTTGCCGCCCATATTAACCGTCTCGTATGGTTTGCAAGGTCCATTTGTTGATAAAAACGAAGGAAACGTATTCCAGGACCATGTATGATATACCTAAATAATACACAGATGCTGTGTGCATCATAAGATCGCTCATAAAGCGGACTTTCAAACACGGATACTTGTCGAGATGGAGATGTTCGGTTTGCTAACACAATGATGCGGAGACCTGAGAATTAAAATAAGATTTGTCGTTGGTTATTTTAGTGCACAGCGTCCCTCGCTTTGATGGCCATGGGATAAAAATCCATGAGCTAAACTAACAACGAATCAATGAAAAATTTCAATAAAGGGTACTCGATAAACATTGCTGACAGGGATCAAAATTAATGGCAAGTCCTGGTTATGTCGAACCTGTGGTTCGCCTAGTACACTATGAAACCTAAATTTCCACACAGAGAGTCTCATTGGGGCTACTTTTGTCGCTAGTATTTAAAAAGAGCTTTATGCACCAACCCTCATTGTCCCTACACGTCATTGGTCTTTGAATGTTAACGTCTCCAATGAAACCATACGTAAACTGGGACCAGGGAACAATGGTATTCATCAAATCCTCGCCACAGCCGTGCGACATCCAGGTTATCACGTGGTTATCGAGAAATGTGTGGAATATGTTAACGTGGCTGATAATACCAATGAATTCGCCGGCTTTTGAGTCTAATTTTGCCTGATCTTTTGTAAGTCCAACCACAAATTCACCTTTACCTGTTAAAAAGAATATAGGTATAGTGCAGGTTTACCTTTTCTAGCATTTTTTTAAAGTAAAGGGCTTCTTTTCAATGATCCTTTCAGTCTACTTTTCCTTTTCTCTTCATATTTTCTTGTGCTAGATGCAGGGCTTAGTCAAGGTTTTGGACACATTCCAGGATGTCTTATTACCACGCACGTATTGACTGAGTGGGAGGGCCGGACGGGAACTTATTACGCTCGAGGTTATGACGGACGGACCGAACGTAGTATTGTATGTCATCGTCTTACCTGGAATTTTTTCACCTGCAGAAAATCCTCGCCCTTGAAGTTGTAGTTGGTCAAAGTAGAAGGTCAATATTCCATCTGGAGACTTCCACGCCAGGCAAATATGATGCCACTTGCCGTCGTTTGCTTTGACACTGGTCCTTTTCCTGTAAAGTATATAATAATTTACCAAGAAAACGGAAAGTGTTATCTAGAGGCTGGTCGTAATTTTCTAACTAATATTCTTGGATACGTCATACTGCTTTTTCATAGATTTGTTGTCAACCTGAGATCAATAAATGCCTTGGAATACCATAGCAGTACAAATTACTGGTATGAAGGCCTAATGCATTCCTATATAATCCTTGCTTGTACATCGGAATTAACTACTGGAGGCCACAAGAGAAACTGCGTTTCTTTTTCAGCATCCTACCCATTCATCCCGGTATTCACAAGTTCTTCTGGAAATTTTGAAACAAATGAATGGTCATTTAAACTTAGCGATATATCTGAGCTCGTACTGGCCTATGCCAAAGAATTATAATTGTAAGTATCGTAAATGGCAAGTTGGAAAACGTATATAAAAATTCATCAAACATACCAATTCATGGTAAGATTCGTCATTGTTACCCACATAAGAAAAGGAAAATTACAACCAGAATATATTTCCCAATATACATATTATCGTTTTCCCTGAATTCGGCGATAACAAGCTCATTCCAATTCCGCTAAGGCTTTTCCTGCTTAGTTAAGACAATTTTAATTATACCTTTCTTTCAGTTTTGTTAAATTCCCTTTTGTGAGCATTCTTTAAACATTTCAGAGTTAAGATAAAAATTTACCACTAGAAAAGCAAATACCTTTTCAAGGATACTTCGGACTTTAAAGGTACTGAAATCAGTCAAGCAATTATAAAGCTAAAGCCTTGTTCATGAAAGATTAACGAAAGAAACGTACGATTTTGTCTCGCCAGTGTAGACATAGAATCCTCTGTAGTCGATTAGCGCAATCGCAGTAACGTATCTTCCCTTTTTTTCATAGCGCACTCTATACCAAAACGGAGTGCCTGCACTGGTATCGTCTGACGATTTCATCCAGAAGCAGACAGTGAAAGCCACGAGATCAGGCAAATCAGTAATGTTTACATAGCCGCTATGGTTAGCGGTAAAGTTCAGTTGGTAACTGCTTTCTTTCTCAACGCCTACAAGTAAGTAAACGAGAAAATTGTTAGTTCGAGGCGGAGAATATTGCCAAATAAAACAAAATGATAAAGAAGGAGAAGGAGAAGAAAGAGAGAAAGAAAGAAAAATTCTGAGTATGCCTACAAAAACAATTCCACCATAATCTAGTTTTGTGAACGTTTTTGCATGAGTTTAAAAAAAAAATTGTTTTTACCTGGCTTGACATGGGCTAATCTTGCCTCTTCATTTGTCTTCGTTTGCTTCCATTGTGTGGTGCTCTTCTTGGAATTGACCCACCCACAAAAGCCTTGGCGAAACTCTAAACAGCCGCCGTTTACTTGCAAGTAATAGATAAAAACCCTTTCAATATATTTGAAAATTTAAGCGCCGCTCATGCAATAAAGAGGACATCATTGAGGAGAAAATTAGAGGTGCAGATAAATTTAAAAGTGGGTAAAAAAACGAAATAAAAAGCTTAAAGGTAATAAACATTGCAAGAGAAGAAAGGAAAAATTAAAAATACCTAAATGGGCGATGGCTAGATTGGTGGATTGAATGATAGCTATAGATGGGCCGATGGAAGAATGAAGAAATGGATAGAAGTGTGAAGGAATGATAAAATACTTCAAATTGTAATTGTCTTCAAAGTGCATGAAAACTATTTTAGCTTCTTTACTCACAGGCACACTGGCTCCACTTCGAAATATTGTCGATTGAAGAGGTTTGGCACCCCAAGGTCTCTGTACCCATGCAAGAATTGCGATGCTTGTTGTTGTGTGAAAAAGAGAATTTGCAGCATCCATCAATGGTACTTTGTACTGGACAGAAAGCTCTTGTTGGTCCTGGGTAACACAGAGGTCAAAGGAACATCTATCTCACTATTGTTCTATTCATAATAATCATCACCATTCATAAAAATCATCACCATTCTCATCAGCACGTTTGATTTACTTGCTATCTTTCGGAGATTTATTGATAAGGCAAAATACGACATTTACGTGAATATTATTTTCTAGAAAACGCCACTTATTATCCCACAGGTTAACGAGTCTTTTTCTCTTACACTGACACTTTAATTTTGAGTTCAGTGAAACTTGAATACTATATTGTAAGTTTATCCATATAGTAGAGTTCAAACACACATTTGAAAACATTATTCGTTGTTTAAGGGGAAATTTGGGCTGGACAGTTTCAAAAACTGACGTAACGTGAAAAGAAAAGTTAAATTCAACATGTAAAGGTGGGCGGTAACACCTCAGTTTGATATTTCTATTGTTGGCTATCGACGTTAAATAACGCCCCACGCAGTTAATGTAAACCAGAACAAAACATGCTTGAAATAAAGATAATTCATTGTACTAAGGCCTGGGTATGTTCATTTGGCATTTGCTGTCACAAACAAAGTTTAAGTGAGTGTCTTAGAAGCTCCACAAGAACTACCTTAAATCTCCCTTTACTCTAAGCTGCCAAAGCTCCACTGTTAATGAGCTAACGCTTCAAAACAAAAATAGGAAACAAAACTTACTGTACAATTTCAAAACTTCCCCTGGTGACAGTGTGCGTAACAACACAGACAAATCCCTTAATGAACCACGCAGTACTTCCCCTGTGTCTTTTTTCAGACCAATTTCATATGCTGTGTGAGTGGTCAGCTTAAGATCAATATCCGCTCCTGTATAAGTGGAAGTACTTTCTCCAAAACTTTGTCCATCGAGATAAAGTTTTCCTTTGAGGTCTTGACGGTTCCAAGTAAATACCAAGTGCATCCATTCATTTTTTCGGATATGTCTTTCAGAAAAAATTAATCAGAAATTCATCAATAATTGAATATGCAATCTTTTTTAACTATGTCTATCATTATGGATTGTTCTATTCATTTTTAGGCGCTTATCAGCCAATTCAGTATTGCTTCTGTAATTTAAACAACTGTTTTAAAATGTCCTGCTTAGTGGCCATAAATGATGCATGAGACTTAAAATTTACCAATAAGATTTAAGAGCATTCGGAGCGATTTACAGTTGTGGCACTGAAAGAAAAATAGAGCCAGAAGAGTGTGAGAGAACAATTTCGTTTCAATTAACAGTGTTTAAATATCCTCTGCTTGATGCTTTGCGAATTTGTGGTAATTCGGAGTAGCATTCAGGATTCCTTTTCTCCTTGAAGTATATAGAAATGGAACACAACCACCCCCCTCCCCCCCAAAAAAAGAGTAGGAACAATTTAGCAGAATAATAAGCATGTAAATTGAAGAAAAGAAAAAAAGGAGCAAATTGATAAAACAAATGAGAAGCTACATGAACCAAGTTATATACAAACCCGGAACTAGACATAAGTAACAAGTCTTGTACATTTCCCCCTCGTCGCAAAGTAACATGCACCTGGCTGTTAGATACATACAGTCGGAACTGGAAAGGTGCTGACCAATCAGATAAAATATGTTGCAACGACTGGATGTCTTGAAGGTTAAAACGGACTGATATGCTAAAGTTGCTTCTACGTATGTTAATTGCTGGAATCTCTGCATAACCAGCTTGGCCGTCGAGGTGCAGAGATGTAACTCCATCTTCAGTTCTGTAAGCAGCCGTTCTTTGTAGCCTAAGAAGGAAAGCATCAGTCAAATCGAGCGTACGCCTACAGATCTCGTTATTAAAAAACTTGATAATTTTAAATTATTTCTATCCCTTTTAAGCTACAACTTTTATATCGCTGGCATTTTAACGTGATACAATGATAACTAGGTGGCCCATCAACGTAATAATACAGGGGCCGGTGAACACAGATTATGCATTGTCACATGAAGAATGCGTGACTTTCTCACTCAAGGTGAGTTATGTTGAGATGTGTTATATGTGTGCCTCAATTGCAACTAACCTTTTTTTTGGAAAATTGAATCCCTCTACAAAATGAAGTATAATATTTTTCTTTGCATGCATGATACCTTACATCCTTATCAGTGCCATCTAGTTTCCAGAAATAACCAGTATTAAAAGGATTTTTTCCATAGTCTTTACTTTCCTCTGCGACAGAAAAACAGTTTTTCAAATAAAACTAATAATTTTTTTTAATAAAATCGTATTATAAATCATCGCATTACATACCATTACAGGAAACAGCAAAAAAGTGCACACTGATTTGTAATGGCTGATTGCGCAGCTCAAAGACACTTAGACTTAAGTCAAAGAGGGAAGACAGGAATTCTCTGAACGTAATCATACTTTTTCTTTGAATTTTCGGACAAAGTAACGTATAAATCATAACAAATTATATTCATAATCAACCCCTTCCCCTTTCAATTAGGTTTGTTAACAGAAAAGTAGGACTGAGGGTTGCAATTGGCACGCTAGCCATTGATGTACAACAACTACTTTGAAGATTGTAACAGTCAATGGCCTTATATATGATCTGGGATCTGGTCTATGATCTGGGGATACAGTAAATATTGACCTAGTTGTTCATTGATAATGTAAACATTATGAATATCTAAGTCAATTTGATGTTTTGTTAACTGTATGTTAAAAAATAAAACCAGATAAAATGAGATTCTTTTCAGTGATATAAACTGTGTTAGTGGGAAAACATCCTTTCGATAAATAAAAAATCCATTAAAGGCATGTAGTTCAGCGCAACAGAATATTAAGTCTCCAGATGAGCTCAAATATTTTTTCTGCAGGAGTCCTTTTGAATGTGATTCTTTAAAAGAGCACAGTCAATTTCTGGAGACGAACGAGGGTCTTTGTGATCAATTTAAAAAATAATATTCAGAACTGAGTAAAGGACAAAATTATTTGGAGAAGACTCGAAAACTTAGAGGGAAGAGCAGTAATTCTTGCTTAAGATATGAGATTCTGCATAAATGGATATTTTCGCAGGAAAAACTAGTATTCTAATGGCAAGAATCAGACATAGATAAGCTTACTCTCATGAGAATTCTTAACCGTGAGAAAAGACACACAGTTCTTTCCTAAAGAACCACATTTCTTTTCCTCAGAATTATAATTCTCCTCTGGGGACGAAGAATCTGAACATATAAATTCTTCTCTGAAGAGAAATGTATCTCTCATAAAAAATTGATTTCTGTTCAAGAGAATTGAATTTAAGAGTGAAAACGGCAAACGAATAACCTCTACCACGAATTAAAACATTTGAATAGTTATAAAAGTATCTTTGGAAAGTCACCACTAGCAAATTGACAGCGTAGTTCGCCAAAGCCCATTCATAGAAAAAACATCAAACGCATTATTTAAATTCAGCAAAACTTCAAATGAAGAAATCCTTCAACCATATTGTTGTAGCAACTTACGAATGTTGAAACAAATCATGCAGGCCAAGGCGTGCTAAGATGTAGAATGTCGTAATGTGCTACAAACCTTTCCAGGGTATAATGTCACAACTGTCAGTTTGAAATACAACATCGTCTATGGCAATTGTCATCATTTTTGAAGACTTCAATCCTAGAAATGAAACCTGTTCAACCAAAATAAATGACGTTTAAGACCTCTAATAGACGTAACCAAGGCTGAATTTGAAGCTTTAACCTTGAAAAGTTGCATCAAAGTGAAAGATGCGAACTGCTTGTTGTAAATAAAGCATCTCTTGGCCTGACAGGATCTGATACCTGGTATGACTGAAAGACTGGCTGGTAGTTCATAGCTGTTGTTTAATCACATGGTAAGCTCCTTGAAAATACTGAGATTACCAAAAAGACAAAGTCTAACTAGTAGTTAGTAAAATTTGGACAAAAACGCTATAAAAGCATTATAAGAAATTAATTACATTCTCTACAAGTGCGTGTCTTCAAATCTGCTTTACTTACTTGGTAGGAATCTGAAGATGGAATGATGGGCAAACGAGCAAAGGTCCAGATTCCTGCCTTAGTGGAAGTCAACAAAGTCATTTTTGCGTCGTTAGAAATTAAAGTCACTTGAAGAGAAGAAGGTCTTCCTTTACTTATGTAGTACCAAAACTGCAAACACTTCCAACCCGCTCTAGCGGAGATATGTGGGCTTGTTAAACTTCCGTAACATCCTGCCCCTCCGTTAGCCAGACTTGAACATCCTTTGTCATAAGTAAAACCGCCTTTAAAGAATAGGAGCAAAATATTGTTCTTGCATTCTTTGAAATCTTTCAATTCTTATTTATTGATATGACTTAAAACTATTGACCTACCACTTGTGCCTTCCCAATCCCTTAAGAAGAATCTCAAAGGGGAAAACTTGCTCATCAGCCATGTTCCTCTGGGCTTCCAATTGCAATGACCTTGCTCAAATAGACATCCGGGGTTTTCTTGAGCAGAAGAAGAGAGATACATTTCTTAGCCTTAAATCTTATAAATCTTATAAAACTGTTCTATTTTGACGAGCAAAATTTAATTGATTCAGGAGATACTATATGGTACATGTGGAGCATGACTTAAAACCAAAACCTTACACTCGGTCACAATCCTATTTGTAAGTAAGTCGTTGCGTTTATCCTAGATGATTTGATTTAAACAGAAGACTTATCATAAGTACCGCCGTTGCAAATCATTAAATGTATTTTTAACGAATTATATCTTTCTCAGTTTAAGAAACATGGGATGAAATAGAAAGCTAACCATTTCCATATACGGTTTGACAATTTTCTCCATCCAGGATGAGAAGATCATCTAAAGCAATATCTCCATGAACACCATTTCCACGAACACCCTTTATCATAATCTACAGGAGAGATAATTTTTAAAGCATTTTTCAGGATTTGAATAATAAAAATTATACATGCAATCGTTATCGATTGTTGGACCCATCGTTGTTAAAGTTGATATATAGTAGAACTAGTTCATTGGTGTGAATTTGTATTCCAAAGAAAACATTATGACGGAAGAACAAAAGGAACAAATGACTGAGATTCCCTTTGAAACTGTGAACAGTAATAGCGAAACTCAGACCTTGTAGCTGTTAAAAACGTCTTTGTATCCAACTTGACCAAAGAGCCAATCAGCACCTTGCTGGCCAGTTTGACTCCATACTATTATCCTTGAGTCATTCTTCAGGATCACTACATTTAAACTGCCCACGTCTTTTCCTTTCATGTGATACCAAAACTGCACACATGTTGCTATGCCAGCACCGATTGCATAACTAGTCAAGACAGCAGCGTCACCAGCACCATAGTCTGATGCCTCAAGATAAATGTACCTTCCTGTGAAAAAGTAAATGGAATTCAAATGAATGAACTATAAAGTAACTTAGAGGGTGATCATTTGTGTGATGGCGGCGATGCGTGTGATGTTCTGCTTCGTAAATGTTAAGTCTATTTGGACTTGTCTTTGATCTTTTATTCTGGTTATATGCCTCGTTTTTGTTTCGCATCAACGAGACAACCTTTTGATTTTCAAGCGCAAGTGATAGTGAGGCCCGACTTTCAATTACACGGATGATACTTTATCGTTTCTTCTTTCTTCGAAGTACACGCGGCGAAGGACGTTTACGATGCTAAAACTCCGGCAAAACACAGGGGCTGTTGGCTCGTTTCAACTGCCTTTAAAGTCAGGAGATATTCATCCAAACCATGGATGAAGGAAAAACTGTTAAATATCCTTGCGGTGGGAACAGAAATTTCAAGAAACCCTTACTTATGCCCAAGTTGGATACAAGCTGTTGATAATAATCTAGTGGACAGCGCCTTTTCTCATAATACCCTGTTACATAAACTGAAGATCCAATTTGGAATCGAGAGCAATCTTCTTTCTTGGTTTACATGTAATCTGAATCATCGGACACAGGTAACGGTTGTGAACTCCCCTCAGTCGGAAGAGCTACTTATGATTTGCGGCTTCCCACAAGGATCAGGGTTAGGTCTATGTTTGTTTGGCTTGTGCACCAATGACATGCCGAAGGCTCTGATATTAGGCAATTTCTACCTGTGTCCTGGCGATACGACAGTTTACTCAACCGTTGAAGAAGCATTTTACCTACAAACAATGCGCTTGACGAGCTTCACAAAATGTGCATGACTAACTCGCTAACAACAAAACTCTTCAAAATGCGAAGTAATGTTGTTACACTGGGGATCCTTCATTGGTCCATACCCATTTACAAATTTAAGTGTGACCTGTGTGATGCAGGTTATGTGGGTTTTACAAGCGGTTATGTGGGTTTTTCAAGAAAAAAGAAAGGCGACTTAATTGATTGGCAAGCATTTTGGCGACAAGCATTCTTTGGCCCCAAGGGATCTTACAAAGAATTTTCTTTTATTAGAGAAGTGTACGAAAAAATTGGACTGCCTGCTTTATGAAATGTTTTTATTTAAGAACTGAGACCTGCTCTCAATGTGCTGTCGGACTCAATTCGTCAGTTTTTATTTTTAATTTAGTTTTTAGTTAGCTTCTAATTATTTTTTCTCTTTGTATGTTCTGATTGTTTGTTTACATTTCCAAAAAAATTTATACTTCTTACAAGCATATATATATTCATCGTGACATTCACTTGAAAATGACCGAAGTTTGGTCGAAAAGTCATGTTTTACCGTTCATTTTTATTGTCAAAAGTTTTGCAAAATCGCGATTGATAAGGACATTTTCCTCTTGATCTAAATTTTAAGGTGATTCTTACTTACATACTTACTAACTTACTCACACAGCTAACTGTCCTCTCGGCAGCACCCACCTGCAGGTCCATATGTGCTATGGTCATAGTCCGGTCCAGTATCCTTTGTGGGTGTTGAACCTGAGCCAATGCTCCATCGAACTTTGGAATCTTCTGTCAATCCACAAAGGCCATCCTGGAAGTCGCACTTAGCTACATAAGACATTATAAATCGATATATTATAATATATGTAATGTATTATATAGCAAAAGATAGAAAAAAAAGATGAGCAAATAGGGGACAATTTTGTTGGCTACAGGGATTAAGCTTTGTACCAGTGGTTGCCTTAACGGTGGGCTGTCTGGCCTCATACGACTGTAATAGGAATTTAAAATGGAGCAACGAGTCGTTGTGGTCTTGATATGTAAAGACTACATCGGTTTCAAGATAAGCAGAGTATGAATTGATCAGACAGAATGTGGAATTTCCCCCAACCCCTCTTTGATCGGCAATATCACAGCTTTCAAATCGTTTGAGTTTATTTGACATTTTGTTTTATTTTTTTTTTCTGGTAATAGCCTGGCGTTGCTGGTAGAGTTAAACAAGTGCAATTGATTTCTATCGATGAGCACGAGTAGCTAAAACATTTGCACTCAACAGTTGCTTAAAGCCGTGGCTCAAGTTAGAATATTAACTTGTACAATGTAGTTGATTGTGGCCATCCCTATTGGAAAATGCAGGCATCTTACCTCTGTTCCCACTACATGCATGCGGAGATGTAACGTGCGTGTAGTTAGGTTTTGCACATCCTAAATCTAAAAGTGAGCAGTTTGAATAACCTGAAACGTGAAAACAGAAAAGTAGCGTAGTTTCATAACCATTAGACATAACTAAGTGTGTGGGGAAATTATTTGAAATTACTTTCTTTCCAATGAATCATGATGATCCATATGACACCAGGTGCAATAGACAAACCAACATCATCCACAGTTCTTTGCTCAAACCTGAAAGTGCATTAAAGGAAACACTAACCACATATAGATGGCTCATCCGTACCATCCTCACAGTTTCTTTTAAAATCACATGTTAAAGACCATGGAAGGCATTCACCACCAGCGCAGGAGAATCTATTTTGGGGACAGCTGCTTCCTTCTGCAAAACAAAATTCTGTTAAAAACTGATAATAATAATAATAGTAATAATAATAATAATAATAATAATAATAATAACAATAAAAAGGAAAATATTCTAAATATGTTTGCTCCTTTTCCCATGTTTAGAATGCTTGGTTTGAAAGAAGAGCCTTTCAGCCGTTTCTTTGGTAAGTTCATAGAATACATTTACAGCCAACGTATGTCGTGGCACATTGGTACACACAAAGTCGTGATCATACAATTTATTGCACAAACCCAACAAGAATTGATAATAGATAGGGCACGAAGCGCGTCAAAACTTGTATACCTTAAATACACACTCCACGAAAACAATGCATTTCAAAAGCAGCCTTTGCCTACCACATCTGGATTCGTCAGATTTGTCCTTGCAGCCCTGCTTTGAATCACACAAGTCATTCTCGTCGAGACATTCTCCAGTTGGACAAATAAACTGAGTAGTAAGGCAGTTACAATTTTTTTCATCTGAGTCGTCCACGCAGGCAGAGTCACCATCGCAAACCAATTCTTTGTGAATACATTGTCCGTTGTCACACTGGAAGCTGTTAGCTTTACAAGTGAAGTCTGTTAACGAGCACAATACACACAAGGAACGATTATTTGCCTCAAACAATTCCTAATAGAAATAGCCTAAGCATCAATTCACGTTTCTCTAATGATTGATTAAAAATAAAGTTTTAGTTTTAAGTTGAGTCAATTTTTCAAACGAAATGAATTTTTTAAAATTTTTTTCCATGTGTAAAACCATTAAAAGGTATAAATTTTTGGGTCACACACTGAGAGTCCACTTGGCACAACTAGAATATTAGCAGATAACCAGTTTTCCGTACCTGGTGAACTATGAGGCGGAGATCGCTCACATGTTTTGGTAGAGATTGTTATATTATCAACAGCTGTTCTGTGCTGACTTGATGATTGTTTCCCCTCAGCAACTATTCTTACCTGCAGGTAACAAAAAGTTGCTTTATTCAACAGCTTGATAAAAAACTTGATAACTTGTTGTTTTAATGGTTGCCGTTGTTCAATTGCACCTTAATTACACCCTGAAGCAAACGTTCATACTTCTATCAGTTTTTGTAGTAAAAGGCGCTAAAAGAGTGTTGTTTTCACGCGTCTGGTGGATTTACATGCAAAAGTAACTTGGTAAGCTTAAAAATGTTATACCTTAAAATTCTCGTCTGTCATTATTGATACTTTTCCATTGAGCCAGGCACTACCCTGGTACCCAGTGAGACTCCAAATTGACGAATTTGCCTTCGCTATCAGGATAATACTAATAGATCCATAATTAGTCGGAAGAAAGTAAGAGAGGGTTAAACATAACCCAAGTTTCTGGCTCATAGAATTGGTGATTATCCAGGGACTCTCAAGAACAGCCGGTCTGTTGCTTTCGTGAACAAGGATCCCTGTCGATATTGAGAAAAGTGGGAATGTATCAAAATAGTTAAGGAAATAATTGCACTTCATAGTGCTCATAAAACTATCACATATCTCGGAGAAAACAATAGCACTTTGTAGTGCTCATTGAATTATTACGTATCTTAGAAGAAGAAATTGAATGCAAAGTCAAGATTAGGTATCAAATAGCCTAATACATATAAAGACCACAACAAAATTCCCACCAAAAAGTGGCTGTACGAGCGTCACTCTATCTCTTCTTTACCTGACTCAATTGCAAGTTTCCATCCTTGATCGGTATTTATCCAAGAACACAAGTCAGAAGTGAATCTGCAACCATTGATTTCCAAAGCTATCCGTAGGACGAAACAATTTTATTATTTTATTTGAAGGATGTGATATCGTCATTAAAGAGAAGAAGTTTCAGAGGAGAAAAAGATAAAACTGATAATCATCCTTATTAACTATATATAATTGTTATAATTATCAAAATTATTATTATCATTAGTGTTATTATTATTATCATTGTTATCGTTATTTTCATTGCTGTAATATCATTACTATGGTAACTATTTCAAAACTAATACCAGCAATGGAAGCAATAACACATTTAAGGTCAGGAAAATTCACATATAAATCCAGAAACGATCAGTGTGGTTAAAGATACGTGAACGATCTCACACATAAATCATTAAAAGAAAAACCCTGGTTAAATGAATGAACAAATTGACGAAGCCAAAAAGAAATAAGCAAAAACCAGGGAAACCACATTATTAGGCATTCAAGAAAAAAAAATGTAAAAAAAGGAACGAACTGAGAGAGTAAGAAAGGCAAGAAGAAAAAGGCAAGGAATATTGTTTTTTAGTTATTGAAACTTGTGTTACCTTTAATATGCACCTCGCCGATTTGCCTATTTATTTCAGTTAAATGTGATATCTCTTCCTCCAATCTATATGAAATCTGAGGGAAAGATTATGAAATTAAAAGAAATTGAAGTGTTTAAAAAAGCCTCAAACGGTTCCTAAAAGGATGTTATGGCTTTGTATTCCCACATAGTAAGGTACTCAACTATGAGCCGGTAAATACTTTGGGAATTGAAGGCATATTAGAGGAAAATTCCTCGTTAGATTTCACATGAAGAATAGATATCTAACAAAATGCGAACCTACTTTCCAGGTGAAAAAAAAGGTTTACACGGCCAAATTAATGTCCCACGCGCACTATTTTCAGTAACCTTTTTAAATTGTCTGGTAAGGAGAGGCTAGGTAATGAAGCTCATAGTTCCCAAAGGCTAATATTTTCAAACATCAATTCATTTATTCTAACGATCGATGAAGTAGTATCCAATTGAACAACAATGTGTACTTTTCATCGAACTTCACATAGACGCCTGATTTGTACCCGAGTTCATTTACGATACCGAAGCAAAGAGAAAACACGAATCTAAACAGAAGAAAGGTCGATCAGGAATTTCAAGATAAGCTAAGATGGCTATTCTACTGTTCAGTTTGGAACTCATTGCTCATCATGAACGCAGGTTTTTTTCCTAATTAAGCGTGTCACCAAACGATGTGATAATGGTCAGCTTGACCTCCAGCCTACAATTCTGGCCTGAATACTTAGCCTAGGTAGCCAATCACATTGCAGGAATCATCTTAGCTTTTACGGCTCTCCCTTGTCTTGCCTTGATTTAAAAAAAGCATGGTAAGTTAGATCTTTCACCGAAATATGAAACACTGATCCTGACTTACGTTTAAGAAATAGATTCCCTCTTGAAGCACAGTTTCGAGTGTGGTATTGAAATATTTTTCTTGACAATCCACTTTCAAGCTGCTGTCAACGAGACTTGTTTTCCCAGCAAATTCAAAGTAAAGTTGAATCGGACACATTGGGCAAAGTAATCCACGACAACAGTGTTTATAAGTAGCTGTACCAGGGTAAAAATAAAAGTTGACTTAAAAATATCCATTAAAGTATCTTCAAATATTTTAACGCAATGATACGATTTATTTTGTTATGATGTGTTTAGGTCTATTCTGACATCAGTACAATTTTTCCTTGCTTTAGTCTCAACAGGCTGCATATTTGTCGCCATATTTCTCTATTGAAATCTGCTACCGGGGTTACCTAACTTGATACTTCCTCCCATGTACAGATGACACAATTGACTGTCTCCACCTTTAATGCAAATCCTTTTATCTGGGTGAACATTTTTTTAATGTTGGGGGGGGGGGGGAGGGGAGGGGAGGATTGTAATAATTTAAACTTACCCTGGATGGAAAACTCTTGACCAGTCCTGATAACTTTAGGAAGGAAGTCCATCTCAAAGTCTACATAAGTCACTCCTAAAACGAAAACCCCCCAAATTCATACTCAGTAATAATGAACCAAGCAGGAAATAAAGAGATGAAAAATCATCTTCCTTAATTTGCTTCATCTGCTTTTCCTGAACGCTCTCACGACAGCAAAGTAGTTCACAAAAACTGCTAATAACATTACTCGAAGCTTGACTCAAAGACAGTTTAGTAGTCAGAGCACAATCTTCATAAAAAGGGAGCTGTGGTTACTTTGATGTTTGACTAAGTAAAATTAATACTATAAATAAACCACTTTAATAACCAGTAGTGTATTCATTAGTTTATCCAGTTTACCAGGCCGAACCCAGAACAAGTGTGCTTTTTGAATGGGACGCTCGTAAGTGCCGTTTGGTAACTTCATTCCCACTGACAAACAGTCTTTCCCAACTCCTTGTTTCATGAGTGTTTCAATGAAATAGAAGTGGCATTTACTCAACCAAATTTCTTCAGAAGTCTGCGATGAAGGGTACCTGGATACAGTAAAAAAAAATTCCTGAGAACTAAAACTGCCAGTCATAAAAAATAGAATACTAATTTCAATTTACAAAGTTCATCGTGAAGAATGTTGAAGATGGTTCTAATTTCATCGATTCCTCAATCCAAGTGTGAAGAACAAACAAACGAACAAATATTAATCAGATCCCTTGCTTAAGAAACAATGTAACGTTCCACTCACAACCGTGTATAAATACTAAATCAAAGAAATAGTTCTTACTTATTCCACTGATTATAATCCGTCCAGTAGCCCGACTTTAATTCAGCCAAACGCTTCTTGCCTGTTTCTTCATCGTTTTCATCCACCAAGTTGTTCACTTGGGGCATGTGAAGCCATAGCTGACAAGCATCGTCACATGCAACGTAAAATGTGTAATTTCCATTTTCTGGAACCTTTTGAGAAAATTGTTTACGCATGAAATGTTTTCTAGTGGACCGCAGTGTAGAGCGCCGGACTGCCGTGAGGGAGGTCCAAAGTTCAAACCCCAGACTAGACTAACACTTGTTTGGGATAATAACTGTGAGATAAATATCTAGAAATTTCTAGAATACTTTGTAAATGCATGTAAGGACTCAGTCGTGTAGTAATAGCAGTTTTTGTTGTTGTCGGGAGTGACTGACACGGTTAGAAAGCTATACCGAGAAAGAATTAGTTGTGGAAGATTGTTCATTTCAGGGAACTTTGGAGACAGCGGTGAGTATGTGTTAGTGATGAGCTTAGATATAGACAGCGGTGGGCTTAAATAAGTTTATCGAGGATAATCACTGTACCGCCATTAGGAGTCGCTCCTTAGAAATAATATTACAAGTTGTTTTAATACAGTAGTTGGGTTTGTTGGAGAATACCGCTCTTTCTGTCGGTTAAATTATACCGTAATAGTATTTAAACAACTGAGGCCTTTTCTTTGACAACTGCAGAATAACTTGCTGCCTTTTCTATGACATCTACAAATGTTTAGTATTCTCGTATAAGGACGATAAATTGTAGGCCTGTCTCCTGCATTTTTTCTGTACTGGCTATTAGGGGACATTAAAGAACCCACTCACTACCTGCAAAGAGTAGGGAACGTAGCGGTACCGTGTTCTGGCCTTGTCATTGTTTGTACAGCCCCCCATTTGAGCCAACTCAAAGCTAAACAGGGCCAGCCTGTCTAAATATCGCAAATATATACACACATACATACATACACCCATACTTACAAATGCGAAGACGAATTGCACTATTATTAAGACGTCAATCGATGGTATTTAAACGTACTCTATCATATACCTCTAAATTGAATTTTTGCAGGGATTATTCAAGTTTTTTTTGTAGCTTTCAAAATGATCGGAATTCTTTCAACATTATTCATTTCCCATTACAAATTTGAAACACTATTCTCAGCAAACCTGAAGGTATGTTGCAAGGCGTTGTCCGTAATTGTAGTGAAAATTGCTCCCCGCATCCAAATTTTGAAGAATCCTGACAGCATCTGGACTTTTCGGAAACCTCCCGTCATCTAACAAATTTTCTACTGCTGTAGAAGGTATCTGATACCAAAGTTCTTGACGAACGCCATGGGCAGTTACCTCATAGCCTGTAAAAAAAGGAGCCAAAATTATAAAAATAAGTTCTTAACCCTGTTCCAATTAAATATTATCAAAATCTAAAAGCATGCAAAGTTCTGCTCACCCATTTTCTTTATGAGACTTAAAAACTCTAACTGAATGCCATAACTCATAGATGGAAACGGCCAGAAAGAATTTCAAAGGAAATAATAATAATAATAAAGATCTTTATTATTAAAAAGAAACACGTCCAGAAACAAAACGTCTGGACTTACAATTTCCTACATATATCTATCTATTATGTATACACAAGACTAAGTAACTACACAAATTCGAAAAGACATCTATTGAAAAAGCAACGTTTAAAGCGTTCGGTTCTGACTGTAGGCAGGATGTAATTATGTCCTCTTTTCCTGAGGCTCCTAGCTCTCTGAGCTGGTAAAAGTTCATGTAATGGATTTGCGCTGTCAGAGGTTATCTCGTCCCAAAGAAGCCTGTCTTTTTTATTCTAATTACATCCATTATGGGAGTGTATTTGCTAGTGTAGCCATAACGTAAAGCTCTCTTACAAAACTTGTCAATATGAGAGAGATATTTACTGTAGTGGGCAGAAGCCCACACCTCAATTGCGTAAGTGAAAAGTGACATAATTAGACTGTCAAACAGCAGAAATGCCCTGTACTCAACAATATAACAGCGAGAAAAATGATACAGATGACTATCCTAAGTGGGTTTTCTCGGAAAGGTAGAGCAGCATAGTATATTCGGACTTTTCTTCTCTTAATTCTAACTCTTTACTTCCAAAAGAGTAGAAAAACACCTTACCCGTCGCAGTGACCAAAACCTCACAGAGAGTTAAACTGGCGACATCATGAGCCGATATGGTTACACTCGTAGCCTCAATAGACGGTTCGCACATCATCAATCTCTTATACTCTGTCCTCCAATCATAAACGTCGCAGTTTGCTAAAGCAAATTCCTTGCGGTTTCTTAATGTAACATGTAGGTTAGGAAATTGGTCTAAACAACAGTCTGGCCTGTTTAACACCAACATTTTGTAAACAAATGCCTTTCTTCCCAGAGTAACACTCCACCAAAGAGGTTCGTCGTTGGACTAAAGAAGAACATCAGTTAAGTCTCGTTTGGTTCAAATTAAAACTAATTTTGAGTTAATCCTGGAGCGTACTATAGTAAAGCGAATTAGAAATCAAACAATTAAATATGAATAAAATTACATACTATTATTCGTTTCATCGTAAAGCAAGAAGCGATATTTCCATCAACCACTTGGGCAGACGTCCCGATGAGATCCGCGTGCAACGACTTGCCTGTTGGTCGCCTAGCAATATAATTCCCTAAATTGAAAAAAAAAATGGCGAAAGTTACCCAACATATCAGAAATTTGTAAGCTAATGTTCCCAAAACAAACGACCAATAACAAAGCAAATACACATAAACAAAAACGACAAGGATCCAAGCTCTTTGTTTTGTTTGATGGCGACTTTTGCCATTTCAAGCGTTAAAATAAAGAAATGAGCGGAAAACTAGGGGGGGATTTCCAATCAATTGTTTGCCATGGTGACAAGATTATAGTAAAACGATGATATTGATATACGTACTCTCCTCTGTTTCACACAGATAGCTTCTTTGGAAATTGCACTGGCTTTGAAGAAGTTTCCACTGCGAACGCTTTTCCAAAAACCCACAATGTTGAGTTGGAGAACGAAGAGGATATCCTTGGTGCCAGCTATCTGCTGAGATGTGTCCATCTCCAAGCCACTGCCACAAACCGAGCCTTAGTATTCCTATAAAGACCTGAATATCAACATTTAGCAGATGTTGATCTTTTTTGTCAAGGCGCGTGTCCATCGCTTTTCTTTTAATCTCGGTATCCACAATGGCTAAGTCACTTGACTGTTCTTGACAATTTTGACGGGCTGTTTGCCAGTCCACGGAAACATCGCCAGCAAATATTTTAAAGCACGACTTTTCCACTTCAAACCAGCCATCTTCACAGGACGCTCCTGGGAAATTAAAAAAAAATAAGTAATGCATTTGCAATGGCATTACCAGATCTCACTATTCCTTTCACTTTTCAATTACAAAGAAAAATGCGAAATTTGGTGTGTCCCAGCACAGGTTGAATAGGGTTGCTGCACACTCTCGGCAGATCTTGAAATAACAAATCATTATTGATGGTACGTTTTCCCTTGGTTTGTTTTAAAAAGACTTTATCCTCACCGGAAATTGAGGTTTTCTTTTCACAGATATATCCTTGTCTTGAAAAGCAATTTACATCATTAATTCGCCAGCCTTTTCCTTTCCAAGCATCATTCCATTTTTCGCCGTTTATCATATTACCACACCATCCGTCTCCAGATGGTTCGTAAGGACCCCATAATGATTGGAATTTATCGAAAGGAAAAATCTTGTTTCTAACTGTTATCCATTGGCTGTCACTGACAGCGTGGGCTCCTACGTAATAGGTTTCCCATTCATTTAGATATTCATCAAGGACTTCAGATATTTTTTGAGCAATTTTGGTATCCTTTAGGACAACAAGGTGCCCTCCTCTGTTGTAACAGTCTAATTTGGCGTTATCCCAAGTCTTCGGCAGAGTCAAGTGCACTTGGAGACAGGAATTGGAATTTAATCTGCGCCACCCAGGAAGACAGGAGCTTTGTTCTGAAAAATTTAAAGTAGCTCTAATTAATCATCGTGCCTACCTCATTATGATAAATCCTACGTGGTATGCGATTGCATTCTGGGTTTAAAAGATTTGTTTTGGCCATTCTGCAGCAAGAATGTCACGGTTGCACTTTTTAACACTAAAACTCTGTATAGCTACTAAACATAGCTGGACATTACTCAAAGTAGATTATATTTCTTCCTACGGCAGTTGGCCTCGCATCGTCCAATATTCAATTTTTATTATCTCTTCCAGCAAACGTTTATTTCCCAATCAATCGCCCCTGGAAATTGACTCACCGCGTAATGAAATATTCGCGAAAAACCATTCTTGAATCGTCTGATCGCAACAAGGTTGATAATCATCTAGTGTAACCTCAAGAGGTGAATCCTGGCCTCGATTAATGAGCAGAACTTTGCGGTAACCTTCTCGGTGAGCGCTTGAAGAATAAAAGAAGTCAAAAGGGAGACATCCGAGATCATTCAATGAAATATTTCGAGATATACCATTTCTACAATGAGCTGAGTCCACCGGGTAAATAAAATACATTATGTCAGCAGAGGTGTTCCTGGTCTGTTGAGCTTCCATCGTGAACTGATGAATCCAGCCACTATGACAAGGAACTCTGTCAAGCTTGAAAGCCACAGTCTTCGCAGAATTGCTCTTTATGTACGCATGCAAGTTTTGTGTGACTAAATCAAACAAATAGGAGAAAATTAATTACGAGAAAATTAATCTCATCAGCGCAATTTCAATGTATCACCGTAGGGTAGAAGTAACTTAAGTACCAATTTAAAAACCAGAGGAATTTGTAGGCTTAGAAAAGGTGTATTTAATTCACGCATTCAATTAAAATGAGACATTCTAGAATTAGACGAAGTTCTCTGAGCCGACATTAAAAATGGAGCGATCATAGAGTTATATTTCAGTTTGATTAATATCTCGCAGTAAATCAATAATCTAGAAAGTGGAATTTATAAAAATACAACTGGTTGGCTATCGGGTTGCCAGTGTTTATACAGCAACGACACGTGACATTACCTTGTCTTCTTCAAAGAATATAATTGGAATTTTCAACAGTTTCACTTGCCTAAATTTTGGCATTTTCCATTTGACAAAATGATATTATCGATAGCGATATCGCTTGCAAAATACCAGCCTCTGATAGCCTCAACCACTATCTGAAAGGTAAAGTACATCTTAATCACTTTGTGTTGATGAATCAAAAGCACATATTACTGACATTTCTTTTTTGATGCTCATACATGTATATACATTTCAAAAGGAAGCTATTTTACCATCAAGGTCATTGTAACACGTATCTTGTTACTATTTCGATTCTTTGTTTTAAAGATAATAGGAAGACTCAAGGACAATTTTGAACATTAGAACAACAATACAAAAAAAAAAAGATTCATAAAGGGATTCACTAGGTTAGAGTTCTCAGGTGAAGAAGTCAAAAGCGTTGGATACAATTTTATCAAAATAAACCTTGAGGGAATGAGGAATAAGTCACCTGATATTCAACAGACGAATTAACGAATACGGCTGCCTGCAGCCATTGGTCTGGGTGATTTCCTGATTTAATCCATTGTATCATCTCACTGTCATTTGTTTTCAGGTAAATGATGAGGCTCCCCATTGAACTACCATACATGTGGTACCAAACTGACAAACACTTTGGACCTTGCATTTTGGGGCTTATAAGTCTAGCCCTGTCACCATGATTACGACCACTGGCCTCCACGTACGCATACCTTCCATGGCCTGTGGAGAAATTAACATTAACGAAATTGCCTCTGCGAGTTGATCACGTACAAAGCTTTTAATCTTTAAAATAATGTATATAATGGAAGATCGCATGCTTGCAAATCTTAAACCTAACCGCTTGGTACCATTAGAAACCTGTGGCACTTACTTATTAAAGAATTAAAGCTAAACAGCGATGAGTGTAACACTCCATTAGCTAAGTCTGGCAATTTTAAGATATGTAATTCTTGCATTTAAAGTTGCGCTATTTGTAACAGTTACCTGACACGTCAGACTGAGGTCCAGTCCATTGGCTTGGTGTGGCCCCTGACCGTACAATCCAATTAATCTGCACTATCCCTGTTTTGTCATTTTCCCAATTGCATAAAGTAGAGTTATCGAAATCGCAGTCTGAATTGTAGAAACAAAATCCATGTCTTAAACGTTACCATGACAATGTGCAGATTATCGAGGTTAAACACTTATGTGAGCTTTGTGATCTATAATTTTGATAATGACTATTGCCAGAGAAAGGTTTTCAAATTAATTCTCATTTTTATTCTTTGAATAATCAAGGCAGTTAAAACCGAAATTCTTCTTTTCTTTCTATCTTAGGGGTTGGAGAGAGGTTAAATTTGCTGATTACAAGTTGTAAAACAGTTTCCCCAGTGAGGCATTCGCTGGTAAGACTGAAACAATGCTCCGTTAAATGCGTTTAAGGACGTTGTCCGTATTTAAACAACATGATATAAGCAAAAGAAAAATCTCCGGAGGTGTCATTAGTGAGTAAGTCTGAAATCTAGTGCTGGATGTTAAACAACGTTTTAATTTAATCTTGAGGTAACAGGCTTCTGATTTGATCAAAATGATAAAACATTCTTCTCTTTGAAAAATAACAGAGATTGTCTTATGTAACATAAATGATACGATTCCGGCAAATGCAGTGAATAAATAATTGAACCATAATTCCTAAAAGCAAAACGTGTGTAAATTCATAATAATTTCGACAGCTATCTCGTTGACTAACAGTTTTCCAAACAGGCTAAAGGAGCGTTGACGTGTGCGGCATTATTGTTGAAAAGTGCATGCGAACGAAACGTTCGTCAAAATTAATGACTTTTTTATGGTCATAATAGTCTCTCTATTTCGATCCTTTATTTTTCTGCTTTTCTGCCCTCAGATACTGCTCTATACTTTTACCTGTCGGATTTATGATCTTACCTGGCGAGAGCACACTTGTACTGTTTGATGCCCAGAAAGGTCTTAGAGTTAGCAAAAACAGAGTGGCACAGGTGATTCTCTTATAACTGTAAAATGGCATATCGCCAGTTATAGGACGCTTTTAAGATCCTCTTACTTTTCCGCAACCTTCGCTGAAAGTACTTTCTACCAGCATATAATCAGCATCTTCAAGATAAAAATCTTATTAGCAAACAAATTGGTTTGATATTTGCAACTGAAAATAACGGATGTAATTAATATTTCGAGCCAATCTATACAAGCAAAATAACCATTATCACTTTCAAGACTTCCGAAAAGCTTAAAGCACTTATAACCAATTTACGTATTGAGTGGAACTCCTCGCTAAGTAACGAATGACAGTGTAGGAAATCCGAAGCAAAAAAAAGCTGAGGAAGGGGAAGTTTCTTTGTGTTTCATAAACCATTCTGTATTTTGGATGGTGATATCAATTACACATATCAATAATCAGAGAGGTTAGTTTTAATTACACGGAATTTTAATATCCATTTATTTGCTTTCAGTCCCCCATGACATATTCCTATTATGTTTAGGAAATTCATAAAAGAAAAAAGAAGAAAATGGAAGAGACTAACTAAAAACTGATTCATTCTGCCATGGATGGCATTTCTGACTTCAATTATCTGTTACTGTCGACTACTTTTTAGGGAGGCTCCACAGGGTTTTTGCTTAATGTTGGCGCGCGCGCCAGCGTAATGTTTTTCTGGAACATTTTTATGTTTTCGCTTTTCAAGATCATTAAAAGCTATCAAATGGCAATGAACAAGGTTCGGAAAATCGTTTGCTGTTGTAAATATTATCAAAATGGTTTTCGTTATTAAGGTAAGGCTTCACGAAGGGAAAGCCAGCGATAATTTGGCTTTGCCTTTGATTTTGATTTTCTTCAATCTGCTTTGGTGAATCTCTCAAAATTGTCACAATTTGTGGAAACTGATGGGGGTTTCAAGGCAGTTTCCTCACTATTTTCAATTTTGTCTTTTTCCTCAGTCTCAAATTTGGTATTATAAATCTTTGTTATCAACAGGCACTAGAGAGGGCACAAATGTTTAAAGGTCCAGCAAATCTTGGGAAATTCCACCGAAGGAAACGTGATAAATCTTACTCGAAAGATCCCTATTTTCTTTGTCGCAAAACATTACTTAATGGAATAGGACTTCGGTGTCTGAGCACGCGGAGACTTTCGAATCTGGCGCCTTTTGGCAATCTTTCCCACGGTGTTTTCTTTTCTTTTGACCTCTTTTTCAGGTGCAAAAGGCCTATGAATATTACGCGTGTAGTTGCTGGAAACCCTAGATTCCATCACATAAAAACTGTATTGAGCTAAACTGTTTTAACACACCTTTTCAGATAACAATCGTGCGATAGTATCGAGCCGCCATGTTTGTTTTTCATGTTGACAGTTTTAGCTCGTGCTTCGTTCGCATGGAGCCTCCTTAATGGACTGTAAAGTAACCTTAGAAACAAGAGTATTAATGCTATGTTTAATGCCGCCTTATAAAACCCCTTCACCACACCTTCGCTAATATGGCAGAGGTCATGGGTTCAAATCCCGTACAGGCCTTATTTTCATTACTGTTTAGGTGGTGTTCATAACTGCGAAGATTGCTTCCACATTCAAAACCCTTTCAGTCGAATTCTGATATGAAAATAATCTTCATCCGTTTCCATGTGAAATCGTAGGTTTCTGAGATACATGTAAATTAGCAATGGGCACCATGTAAGAAAATTGCATAGAACAGAAGCACCATATGGAAAAAACACTATAAATTTGTTTGGCTGGTTACTGCCATCGTTGAAATCGACAGGAGGAAATAAAAGGGAAAATTTAAAACACAGATTTAACCAAGGCACAGGCGTATTTCAATCTGTGAGTAATGGATATTCTGAAAACAAGCGAGGTGTTCCTTAATGCATTAAGCTTAAAGTGTTATAAGAAGGAGCGTAGTAAAGACAAGCTCCCTTTATATTTTTAGTTCTCTGTACATCTTACTGTTATAGAAAGTGATAAAGTTAAACACATCATGCTGATGATGCATAATCACGAGTACATTCAAATTGTGTCCGTGATTGTTATAATGCAAAGTTTGCAGCGCTGTGGTAATTTTTCAATCATAATTGCTCTTTGGGCAGTTTAGACATTTCCATGAATAAAAAAAGATAAAATGTCGCGACTCAATTAACTTTGCCGGAAGACGTAACATTTTGGCTTTGTTTAAGTGTCACCATTATCATTCTATGATACTAGCCACTCAGCTAAGAGAGTTTGAGGCGAACTGGAAATCGCTGATGTACGTATCGATCATCTGTAAAAATGAGTCTTATCTTAAGTAAGTCATCTCTAAACCGCCCAGACTTGAGGAATATCCAAACTGAATTGTAGCTGGTTTTCATCCTTCGAAGTCCTTCAGTTATCTATTTACGATAGTCCCTTTTCTTTAGCACATTGTGCTACGACCATACAATCGCATCGCCCGCGGCTAAGCCTGCTTTGAGGGTGGAGATGGTCATATTGCACTTAAACGGAAATTAAAAGCTATATCTCTTTGTCATCGCATGCAACGAAGCGCACAAAGAAAGGGCTGCTTTTTGCTGCAACTGATCACGTCGATCTATGAAAAGAGCATTATTATACCTGAGTGCAGTTAATCATAAAAAGTTAGTCTTTGAGAATAAATTCTCTACGCACTATTTGCATCTTTTCATCCAAGAGTGTCCATTGCAGGTGCTGTCAAACAATAACGAAAGGCCGTCTTTTTTGTCTTGTTTTGTTTTGTTTTTGTTTTTTTCGTGTATCTGCTATATCAAAGCGCTGTAAACTTTATGGAACCCTTAAAGAGTAGATATTCACGAGTTTTCGTTACCGAATTCTAAGGCAAGAATCTTTTAGATGTTACGATATCAACGGAGGTTTTGCTATGGTGTCAGCAAAACCTTGCTGTTAAAGTTATTTCTCTCCCTTTTTTCCTTGCTGGACTGTTTAATTACCTTAATTTTGAAAGGACGGTGCATCGTTCCTTACATCGGTTTTAGATTCATAACAAACAGCATCCAGCTTTTCGATTGAAAAACTTTGCGAACTAAAATACGACCCAGTTGTTTTTCTCTTACGCAAATATTGAAGTGATTAAAAACAAACATAAACTGACCACAAATATATCAAACCAGTAGTTACCTGTATCTAAACAGTACTTTCGACCTTCTCTCACTCAGTCGTGAATTCGATTTCAGTGCTGCTAAAATGCACCAAAAATGATTCCAGTTTTTGGGAGATTTAACATCACCAGTAATCTACCTCTAACTTCGTAATATCTTCGCCCACAGATGGCTCTTCTGGATGACTTTTTTTCACCGTATTTACTCAGTTTCACCCGTGTTATTGGGCTTTTGGCTCTTTAAATAAATTGGAATTGTGGTTCTACCCACTCGCTCCTTCACTTAAAATGAAATTATACAGTACTCTAAACAAACTCAAGTCCAAAAGTAAAGAATTTTATGACCTATTGCATTTAATTCCTGTCACCTAAAAAATAAATTTCATTGTGTACTTCAGGTTAATACTAAATCGCTTTGACAGGGAATGAAATATTATTCGTTTTATTTACCAAGTTAGTTAACGTCTTGAAGTGTCATGTTTGGTAGCTTCATGACAAAGGAGACGAGTGACGCCTAACATCTGTCTAAACACTGCCTTGTAAAAACTCCCTCTCATCAGAGGAACCTTCGAATAACATAGACTGCTTTATCTAGTTCCAATTGATGACAGAGAGAGAAGAGTATGACCACCACTTACAGACGCTACAAGCTCGAACATAATGTCGGATACCGCGGCGCTCTGGGTTTCTTCTTTATGCAAAATTTCGAAGTAAACATCGTGGCCCCGTTGGTAAGGTGCAAATTATCTTAGACTTTACTATAAATGCAAACTGACTCGATTCGAGCTTAACTGAGTGTTTATTCATCTGTTAAGTATGCAAATTTTCAGTTACACTATAGAATGAAAAGAGCCGAATTGAATGCAAATGCCAAATTGGACTTATAAAGCCAAAACAGGTCTGAAAGGTATTATTAAGACCCCTTGTGTGACCGGCTGATTGGCGATATCAAACACGTGAAAAATCTCGTATTTTTTCACAATAGTTTATAGGATAAAATGAATTACAACCGCGAATTCATCACTACAGACGCTATATTTCTTGACTTCATTCAAATATATTTTTATCTGCGACTTCCGAAAGAATAGGAAAGCGAACGTAATACGCTTAACATTTTAAATAAAATGCAAAGACTCGACCCCTTCATTAATCTCGATTCATAATTGCTTGTTTTGCAGAAAAAGACGCGGTTTCGGCGCCCAAGATCTGCCAAACAATCCTAAAGATGGAGATGAGCTGAGGCACAACTTTCCATCTTCAAATAAAAAATTTGTTAAAATTATAACAATGAACGCAGAACCCAGAAGGTAAACTCTTTATTTTACAGCTAAGTAAAGATGCCACAAGATTTGCTTGCTTGTGACTGTGTCCTCATAGGGATGAAAATAGACGTCTTTCTCAAACTCACCAATGAAGGTACATTCAACAAAATATTGATTGACAACTGATTTTTTGGTCATTACTCTCTGTCATTTTTTGATTGACGAAGTGTTTCTCCTACAATTTTGTGCATGGGCGAAAACCGATGGGTTTGTTTCACGATTTCAAACGCAGCTCCTCGCAGCCGCTGCTGTCGTATATTGCCTTCTTGAGTTTTGGTACATCTACCTGTGCAAATACGGTTAGCAGGTGGTTTTCAATGGTTTGGTTTCCTTTAAGGTCATTCACTTCGTTGATTTTCTTAGGTTTGGCCTCAGACCCAAATTCCGACGTAAAAGCTTGACAATGCAGAAGGGAAGACAGATTAATGAATTTTGGTTTCCCTCTCACTGTCCTAAATGCAGAAGTATGTTCCTGACTCCTTCCTGAATAAGATTGGTGACACCTATCTTATTGTCAATCATGACCTGTCAACGATGTCAGTTCAAATTATTGATTATTATTTGTTTGGTTTTGTTTTTGTTTTTTC